CTCTCTCTCTCTCTCTCTCTTTCTTTCTTTTGGTTTTTCGAGACAGGGTTTCTCTGTGTAGTCTTGGCTGTCCTGGAACTCACTCGGTAGACCAGGCTGGCCTTGAACTCAGAAATCCGCCTGCCTCTGCCTCCCAAGTGCTGGGATTAAAGGCATGCGCCACCACCGCCCGGCCATGGAAGTATTTTTCTTCAGCGTCAGGTTTAGGTTTTAAATATGGTCAGCCCTTAGCCATGTGAACTTTGGATGTATTATTTAACTTTTCTGCTGTCAGCTTCATCTTCTGTAATGAGTCATCTCATGGCTCTTGGATTTTCTTTATTTAGTTGGCATGTCAAAACATGACATTTATATGTCTTGTGGGGTAACATGTTGTTATGCATGTATATGTTGTATAACACTAAAGTCAGCTCAAACACATCTCTCTCTTCAGATATATATCCTTTATAGTAAAATGTTCAGAGTATTTCAAACTTACGGTAGATTTTTATTTTGGGGATGGGGGTACACCAGGGCCTTGTGCATGCTAAGGAAGTCCTCTACCACTGAGCTATGTCACCAGCCTCTAACTTTTGGCATATGCAGTACATAATTATTGTCTATACTCATCTTACATTGCACAGCACAGCAGAATTTATACTCGTCTTTCTGTATCTGCTCTGTTCCACTTAATGTCTTCTCTGTTTGTTCTAAATTTCATTATTTTTGAGGGAAGAAAGGAGGGAGGCAGGTGGGCTCACTCACATGAATGTCTATGTGTGAAGGCTTTAGGTCATCGTTAGATATCTTCAGTTACTCTCCGTTTTAATTAAGGCATGGTCTCTCACTGAACTTAGAGGTAGCTGACTCAACTAGTCTAATTGGGCAGGAAGTTCCAGGGCTTGTCCTGTCTCACTCTCCCCAGTGCTGACATAGATGCACGATTCTTCACCCAGGTCTTCTATGTAGAGGACAGTGCTCCAGATTTGGGTCCTCAGACGTGCTTGGTGTGCTAGCTACTTTATGTCAACTTGACACATGCCAGAGTTATCTGGAAAGAGGAGACCTCAATGGAGGAAATTTCCTCCATAAGATCCAATTGTAAGACGTTTTCTTAATTAGTGATGTGTGGATGAGGGTCCACCCTATTATAGGTGGTGCCATCCGTGTTCTTGGGTTCTATAAGAAAGTGGGCTGAACAAGCTAGTATAAACAAGCCTGTAAGCAGCAACCCTCTATGTTTTCCATATCAGCTCCTGCTCCAGGTTCCTGCCCTGAGTTCCTTCGATGATGTTCTACAATGTGGAAGTGTAAACCAAATAAACACTTTCTCCCAACTTGTTTTTAGTCATAGGTTTTTTTTTTTTAATTTTTTACTGGATATTTTATTTACATTTCAGATGTAATCCCCTCCCCCCCCACCCAGGGACCCCCTATTCTTTCCCCTCTCCTCCTGCTTCTATGAGGATATGCCCCTACCCACCCTCCCACTCTCACCTCTCCACCCACAATTTCCCCCACACTGAGGCATCCAGCCTTCACTGGACCAAGGACATCCTCACCCACCTATGCCTGACACTGTCTTCCTCCCTACATATACAGCTAGAGCCATGAGTCCCTCCCTAAGTGCTCCCAGGCTGGTGGTTTAGACCCTGGGAGCTCTGGTTGGTTGGGATTGTTGCTCTCCTCATGGGGCTGCAAACCCTTTCAGCTCCTTTAGTCTTCTCTCTCACTCCTCCATTGGGAACCCCATGATCAGCTCAAGGGTTAGCTGTGAGCATCCGCCTCTTAATATGTCAGGCTCTGGCACTTGGTCATAGTTTTTTTTATCACAGCAATTGAAAGTGGGATGCTTGGTGAGGATTTACCAACCAAGCCATCTCGAAGACCCAAAACTTTGTTCTTTTATGGCTGAGTTATATTCTCTTATATATGTAGATCGCATTTTCTCTTTTCACTCATCACTTGGTGGACACATAGGGTTGTTTCCATTTCTTAGGTATAGTAAGTAATGCTGCCGTAAACACGGGAGTGCAGATGTCTTTTTGACATCCAGACTTCATTTCCTTTGGATTCATGCCCAGGCGTGGGATTGCTGGATCATATGGCATCTCAGTTTTAATTTTTTGAGGAACCTTCACAATGACTGAACTAATTTATAATACACTCCTGCCAACTGGGTAAAAAGGTTCCTGCTTCTACATTCTCACCAGTGCTCAATACCTTCTTTTGTGTAATACCCCAGAACCACCTTTTAAACTAGGGTGCACTCAGTGTAAACAGTACTTTATATCTCTGTATCATGGAGCTGTAAGGGCTTAGTAAAAATCAAAACAAAACTGAATTTAGCTGTGCAGACTTACATTAATATCTTTTCCTGTCTTAGAAGTTATTAGCAGAAAGAGATGCCTTAAAAATAGAACTTTAAACACTTTTGTTTGAGAATTTCATACATGCTTATGTGTTTCCAAATACATTTTACATTTCTTCCCTGCAATTCTTCCTTAATAATACCCATTCTTAACTAGAATGAGGTCGTCTCCCAATGTCTCATTCTAGATTTAGCTTTTATTCCTCTGATGACTATTGATATTGAATATTTTTCATATGCCTGTTACCTATTTATATGTGATCTTTTGAGACATATCTGAAATATTTTTAAGTGATTTTTGTTTTGTTAATATTGATATTTTAGATTCCATGTTAACCCCTGTCAAATGTGTAGCTTGTATAAATATTTTCTCTCTGATTCTAGTTGCTTTTAGGTTGACTGTTTCCTTTGTGGCAACAAAGATTTTAGTTTAATATCCCAGTTGTCTACTTTTGCATGCCTGTATTTTTGGAGGGGTGGGGTCTTACCCAAAAGCTCCTTGACTGTTCAATTTCCTGAACTGCTTTTTCTAGTAGTTTGTTTCAGGTCTTATATATAATTCTTTAATCTACTGTGAGGTTTTTGTTTTGTTTTGTTACTTGAGAGGGTTGGAGGACTGATCCACCCACCCACTCCCCATCTTTTGAGGTAAGCTATTTCTGTGTAGCCAGACTAGCTTCACACTCATGATCTCCCTGCTTTGGCTTCCTCGTTGCAGAGATTACAGGTGTACCCACCAAGCAAAGTGGGTGGGAAGCTTACAGGTAGAAACTGATCAGAAATGTTACTCCTTCCTAGGGAGTTGGTTTTAGTGAATAAAAAAGTGGCTTATATAGAAATAGTGAGTAATACATTATTTATTATTCTTCAAAATCAGTATACCTGAAAAAAAAAAAAGCTACTAAAACCCAGGGCAAATGGTCATTATTTTGGTTAAACTTCAGTGCCTAAAATTATTCCTGATCTTTTCTCTGTTACCAGGGGCAGTTGAGTTAGTTGCCAAAGAATTCTAGTAGTATCTCATTCATTTTATTCCAAGCTACAGGACTCAAACTGGTCTTTAGCTTCTAATGTAAATTGAGAGCATCTTGGGAAGATTTATATATGGAAAACATAACAGATAATTAGTTTTTGTTTGTTTGTTTTAATGAGAATAGCTTGCTATATATTCTTTCCCAGGGCATTTGTACACTTTTGTATACTTTTAGTAAGATTAAGTAGTGTCCCATGATGTGAAGAAATCCGATGTAAAGGGACAGAAGCTCCTAATATTATGTAATTTATATTTGGAATTTTTGCTCCCTGGTGTACAGTCATGTGACAAAATGTGGTCTTATAACCACCTTGTAGAATTACTTTAGGTGCATGTCCTAAATAAAATGCTTAAAAGATGAAGAATGCTACCTTAAAATTATATGTTAAAATCCTGGTACTCTCCTTAGTTAAAAACAATTTCTGACGAAGGAAGCCTTGGGCCTTCTTTGTGTGGTTTGCATCCCATTGCATTCTGCGTAACTGGAGAGTAAATAGAAGGATGATAATCCACAGCAGTTACTTCTGTCTTTCCGGTTGGTGTGGCAGTGATGGAATCAGACACAGAAAATAGCTGTATTCTACATTTAACACGACATTTTATTTGTTTCTGAATGGATTGCTTTTTAAATGCCTCTCCTCCCAAATCATTGAGAAGTCTTGTAGTTCTTTCTTTGCATAGTGTAGTAACTTAAATTTTCTGCACCTGTGTTTCTTAGGGTCCAAAGATGTTTAAATTTTAGGTTAACAAAAGGTAGTTAATGATAAATCATAATTTAAGACAGCATTGAATTATGCTTTGTTAATGAACAGAATATTTTATTACCTGTGAAAATTATTTCCTAGGTTCCAATAGCCAAGTCTGTCCCCATAGTTTTGTATACCAGCACAAAGCCTGCTGCTTCTTTACACAAGAAAAAAAAAGTTCAATTGGAAATACCATACCTGAACCAAATGTTCTTCTTACCTTCTTCCCAATATATCTGTGTCAAAAAACCCTCAAGAGGAAATGGTTTTAGAAATTATTTTTATGCCTAGATTCTAAGTAAAATCACTTGACATACATGAATTGCAAAAGGCAGATCCTCATTCTGAAGTTGCCTGTTTCTCATTTCGATCTGACATATTAAAAAGCATGTAATTAATGGTTGACATTAGTAATTAACATTAACTTTATGGTGTTTGATATGCCTTCTTCATTCATCTTTCAAATAAGAAATATATTATGCCTTGGCAGAAAGGTTTCAGTTATATAAATGCTCCTTCAGTTTTCACAGGATATAAATGTGAAAAACAAAAAAAAATGTGTTAAAAAACAGTCTGCTTTCGTTTCTTGAGTGTTAGATATATTTTTATTTCTTTTCAGGAGTGTTCATCAGCAATTGTGTCAGGAACTTCAAAGAGAGAATGTGGACCTAATTGTACAGTCTTCATTATCGGCTAAAGAGCGCCCCCTGGCTGCCGTCGCCGGTGCGCTGTGGAGGCATTTCTTTTCCTTTCTCAAGAGTCAGAGGATGACACAAGTCGTGCCCCTCTCCCAGCTTGCAGATGCCGCTGCAGGTGAGCCTTAACTGTTCACTGCTAATTGCTTTCCCTGTTTGCAGACTTTTGCCAGTATTTTTCTCTATCTTCTTGGTGACAATCTCTTGCTTTATAACAGTCATTGTGATATATGATGAAACAAATGACATGTTCAAATAGAGCATGTTTGGCTTATGTATTTAATCTTCAAAAATTAAGTGATTATTTATTAAAAATAAAAGGTAGTTTTCAGACACAGAATGTTCACAAACTTTTGTTATTCTTAAAATTATTTGGGAAGTAAGATAGCATTTGATTATATCTGGCTCAAGTAGTATGCTTTCATATGTTATGAGCAGTTAACTAAATATAAGATAGACAACAACAGCAACAACGAGCCCTTCAATACCAAGAGGATGAGCTCAGGATGGAACGGAATACTTAGAATGTCAGTGTTCTGAGTTCACCTAGAGTTCATTTTAAATTACAATTTTTATTTAAATCGACTATTGACATGTCCTTAGGCATTCATGGAATCATGTACAATTAGGCAAGATTTTAAATATATGGACATTTTTGCAATTTCCTGGTGAGAAGTCATTATATTTTTTTCAAACAGCTATTATGCTCATAATATGTTAAATGTTCTGGAATAGACAAGAGATTTGTATTGTTACCGCATATATGTAAATAGAGTTCATTTAAAGGTTTTTTAAAATATATATTTAAATCTCACACTTTAAACAAACAACAATGACAAAAATCCCTATGGTCTAAATCAGCATTTATTTTATTCTGGGTTGGAAGAAGAAAGATGAGCTAAAAATGAAGGAATGAATGATAAAAAATGGGTAAGAAGTTGAATTTTGGAGCAGTTCAGACTTTATATGAAGTGCATAAGACTGTGTACATACAGACAAGAGTGTGTGGCAGGGTCACGTTTTCCAACTAGTGTGGTGGCTGAGATAATACATATTGATATTCAGTAAGTTGAAATTTATTCTGTTATCAGAACGCTAGACCATCAACAAAAGCAGCTTTGTGTTAGTTTAGTTGACACTGTCCTAGGTTCTAAAAGTAAGTGCCAAACAATGCCAAAGTCATTCGCATATATTTCTGATTTGAAGTAGAATGAGTTTGACAGAAGATGATTTCCTTCATTTAAGAAAAAGTTATTTAAATACTCACTTTTGTATGTACTAGAGATATACCAGTTGGGTGGACCACCACAAACAAGAATACCCCATCCTCACAAAAGTTAGGATCTAGTGAGTGATGGGGCCAAGAATGATTTGTTGCTGTTGTTTCTGAGAGTCTTGCTTGGTTGCCCAGGCTTGTGGGTTTGTGATCCTGCTGCCTCAGCTTCCCAAGTATGGATTACAGATGAGCAACACCATATCCAGCAAAAACAAACCAAAACAGGAGGGGAGGGGAGGGGGAGATCACAATGGAGTGCTCAGGGAACTAGAGGGAAGAGACATCCGTAGGTGGAATGAAGAGCTGACATGTGCTTAAGTCATGGGAAGTCTGCCCTCGCCTTCTGAGCAGTTGGAAAGACTTCCACAGAGGTTAGAAGCTATTAGTGTCTTTTCAGAAGAGGAAATATAGGTGTTCTGGCTGATGAGATAAAGAGGGAAATAAGGCAGTTAGAAAATGAGTCAAACTAGATTGGACTAAAGTTGTAGTATAGATATCAGAAATGGTCAGATCTAGAGGAAGGAAAGGTATTTTGAAGGTAGATCTAATGACATTTACTAAGCAAATAAGGTAATGTAACCTGAATGTTCATGAAAGGTGTCTAGAGTAACTAGCAATTTGCTATTAAAAGAAGATTATGAAGGGACTATTTTATGACAGAAAATTGAAGATTCTTATGTCCTTAGGGAGTTATGGTTTGTTTTAAGGTATTCATTAAAGTCTGACTACATTAAATGAGGACCTAGATATAATAAACAGGCTTCGCAGAAGAGCTCCGACCTGGAGGTTTGTTTGTAAACTGTCTATGGGTAAATAGCCTGTAAAGCCCAGAAACTGGCTGAGATGGTTATTAGTGTAAGAATGGATGAAGAGAGAACACTGGATCAGTTCATAGTGTATTTCTGTAAAGATTTGTAGGCTCAAGAGAAATAAGGAAAGGCACTGTGAAGGGGTATAGGTAAGACGCAAACCAAGAAAGTGTGCTGTCGAAACTAGGACAGGAAACTTAAAAGTAACTGGGCTTTTTTTTGTTGTTTTGTTTTGGTTGTTTTTTTTTTTAATTAAAAAAAAATTTAATTTTGTTTGTTTGTTTGTTTATTTTTACACTCCAGATTTTATTCCCCTCCTGGTCCACCCTTTGACTGTTCCACATCCAATACCTCCTTCTCCCCTCCTACTCCCCCCAGACCTCTCCACTTCCTGGAGCCTCCAGTCTCTTGAGGATTAGGTACATCTTCTCTGTTTGAACCCAGACCCAGCAATCCTCTGTTGCATATGTGTTGGGGGCCTCATGTCAGCTGGTGTATGCTTCCCGGTTGGTGGTCCAGTGTCTGAGAGATCTTGGGGGTCCAGGTTAATTGAGACTGCTGGTCCTCCTACAGGGTCACCCTCTTCTTTATTTGCTAGATGTAATTCTTTTTTGGAGGCTTCTTGCTGAATAAGCTCACCCTTTCTAATTTTTTCTGACCTCTGGGTGGCTGACCCAAGCTCCTCTCCAAGCTCACTGATTGACTGGTTTCTCTTAGCTTCTCATGAAATTGCTCTGCTTGGCAAAACTTCCTCTGAACGCCACTCAATTGAGCTGCTCTGCTCTCAACTCCACTCAGTGGAACTGACTGACTCTCTCCCTTCCCGTTCTTTTAAGTCACCTCTCTTTCCTGTCTGTTCTCCTGAGAGTTGGGTATATCTTATTTTTGACTCATTCTGTCAAATCTGTCTCTGACTTGTCACTTTGTCTACTCCTTAATTAGTTGTCACTTTCAAACATGACTGCTTCCTTCTACAAACTAATGTTACCTTAGAAATGTATGCTAAGGGCGTGTCTGTATTCCAGCTAGAGGGATTAAAGGGGTTTGAATGTTCCTTTACCTCTGGAGTTGTGTGTCCTCCTCTATAGTGCTCTGCCTTATTAAGGCTCAGTGTCTCATTGAACTGTAAGCTGCTCAGCCAGCTGGTTCCAAGGACCTACACTGTAACACCAGGGTTACAGATATGCACAACCATGCCCTGCCTTCATGTGGGTTTTCAAGATTAGAGCTCAAAACATCATGCTTATATAGCAAATGCTCTTCCACACTGAGTCACCCCTGCTCCAGTCCTGAAGTGGTTTTTGTATATCAGAGAATCATTGAATTGATTGAAGATGGTTGAGGAAACGTGACAGTTAAAGGGAAATGGTGCAGAAGCCATGTAGCTTAGTGTAGAGTTCTTGTATAGCATGCACATGGCCCTAGGTTCAGTCTCCCACATTCCAAGAAGGACAGCATATGCCTTTAATCCCAGCACTCTGGAGGCAGAGGCAGGCAGGTCTCTGTGAGTTTGAAGCTAGCCTAGTCTACAGAGCTAGTACCAGGTCAGCTAAGTCTCCACGAAGAAACACTTTCTCAAACAAACAAAAAAGAAAATAAAAGGGAAGAAAGGAAGACAGTTAGTGGTGTATAATGTGTATAAGAATGGACCGTGCCATCAGACTGCTGAAAGAAGGAAGAGACATCAGAGAGGAGATAGGAAAAAGATATACAATCAATTGATTATAGGTTTGTAATAAGCAAAGAATTGATAGGGTTTGGATCCTAGAGGAGGGATAGAGTCCTTAAAATGAAATTGTACAGAGGTTATAATTAATGTGCCAAGTGCTTTAGGTATCAACATGAGAGTGTTTAAGTATAGGGGAGTATAGTCACTGGAATAAAGGAATTCCAAGTAAATAAGGTCACGGCAAAATTGCTGGTGGAGAATAATATAAACCTAAGAGGGCATACAAAAGAGGAAAGAGCGTGTTACTGGTATAGTTTGATGTATATGAGATTCAAAGCTAGGTCTGTTAGGAAGGAAGGAGTGAGAATGGTTTAAAAGTAGCAGTGTAGAACAAGAAGGAAACCTACCTTGTCTGTGAAGTCAGTAGAGGGCAGTGGAAGAGTACACAGCCACTTTTAGAGAGAGCTTCCTAGGTGTTAGTGCTTCAGACAGTTGACATGGAGCATAAGTACAGATTGAACTGACGGATTTCTAGAAAGTAATATCTGCCTAACATGATTTAGAATTCTGCTTTCTAGATTGTGGGTTCTGAAGAAAGTGGGTGTCTTTAATCATAGGAGGTCACTATTTAATAGAAGAGAATAGTGGGTATTGGGGTGAGCATGCATGCTTGTGGTAGGTGGCAAGGAAATTGACTTAACCAAAGAAGAATGGATACAGGAAATACTTTTAACTAGGTCTCTGAATAATAGAGGCGTATTAATAAAATCCACTGGCTTGACTTGAAGGAGCCATATCTGTAATCATATTACTAAGCTAGATACTTTTAAACCTTTTTGGAGATCTAAATGGTGTTTATATTTGACAATATGAATTTAATTGTTTAAGCTCAAATTACATTTTTGAGTGTTACATTTTATTTGGGATTTTTTAAAAATCCTTGTAATTAGAGGCAAGGCATGAGAGTGGGGTGGTATTTGAAAATGTCTTATCTGAACTTTCTCTTTTTAAATCTAGATTTTACTTTGTTGGCAGTGGACATGCCAAACACAGCACCACCAGATCTTCAGCCACAGCCAGTTATATCAATAATTCAGCTTTTTGGTTGGGATGATATCATCTGGCCCCAAGTTGTAGCAAGATATCTAAGTCATTTGCTACAAAATAGGTATGTACCCTGGAAGGGGTTTTCTAATGTAAACTACTGTTTATATATCCTCTCATTTGGCATTCAACATTTTAACAATAGTAATAGCAGGTACTATGAAACCTAAATTAGTGGTTTGATTTCCACATGTACATACCTGTATATATATATAATTGTTACAAGTTCATACTCTCAATAAGCCTACCTCATTATCTTAAAATGACTTTTCTGTATTCCCTAGGGAGAAAAAATTGTATAGATATCATTGCTGAATCAATAAAACACTGGCGTATTATTTAAAATTTAGACTTAATGACACTTTTAAAGACTTGTGACATCATCAACAAGACACTTCTCTTAAATCATGCTGTATTGCTTAATCTTTCTGTATCTTCTGCCATGTCATACAGAAACTATGAGGAACAACTTCAGTAATATATAGATGCATATATGAAAAAGTGAGGTAAAGTTACGATAGATATTGTATAATGTGGGAACTTTATAAAAGCATCAAGATGAAGAGGATGAACTCACCCAACCTGTGAGACAGAACAGTCCTTATATCAGCTGCCTGGCAGGAATGTGAGGTGATGTAGTGAGTCAATTGTTTTCTAAGAACATTAATTAGTCAGCATCACTAAGCATACATTGTTTCATTGGGCTTTGACTTATAAAGTAAGAGAATTCATCACCAGCTCTTAGAATTTCTTCTAATATGAGACTTCTCTAACAAAAGAGAAAGTTTATTTATTTATTGCTCTGAAATCACTCACCTTTATTAACATGGAAGCTCCTGGGCCCCAAAGTAAAGAACAAGTAAAGACTTGTAAACCTGAACCTTTTTAATCACGTAACTTTAAGTGTACAGTTTCATGGTACCTTCCTTTGGTGACTGCACATATGTAACACTGTGTGGTGGTGTTATTAAGAAAGTTTACAGTGATAAAGTTCTTCTGTCCTGTGTAACCATCACAAGTTATATAAGAAATTGGTGTCTAAGCACCAAGATCACATTTGAGCATCTATTGCTTTCAGGATTACTGTAAGCTTGGGCAAACTTCCCCTGTTGAGCTTGCTTCCTTGTGTCAAAATCTCAGCTCTCTTACATTCTCTTCAGTATCTGCACCCAGAGATGTATGTAGGGAGGATGATGGGGTTTTTCCATACAAGTATTGCTTTCAGCTCAAATGTGTTACTTGGGCCCTCTAAAAAAGTAGGCCCATTGGTCTAAAGAGCCTTTAGATGTTCTCACTACCAACAAAGAAGACTCTAGCTGTCCTCTTTCAAGCCTGCTTTCTTTTTCTTTTTTTTGTCTCTTTTAATGATGTTTAATACTTCCTTTCTCCTGCTCTCCTTGGGCATGGACTTTGGGCATGCCCTCTGGAGAAGGAACTGGTCCCTGTGGAGCTTCTCTCTTTTTGCATTCTTTATTTGTGTTCTGTAGCATGACACTGTTTATTAGGTAGGGGTTAGTCTCCAGGTCTTCTCTTTTTTTTTTTTTTTAAATTGGTGTTCCTTGTCTGTTCCTGAGCCTCTCAACTCTCTGTCTCTGTTTCTTTATGGGAATACAGGTGATTGCCATAACATTGATGATATAATTCAAAGATTATTTTGAAACAGGAGGTCTACCCTAGCGATGTAAGACACAGCCTCTCTGGGGAGCAAAAAAGATGTATGTATGTACATGCATATATATATATTTAAAATAATCTTTATTAGTAACAATTGAAGAAACTGAAACACAAAGTTGTTAATTAGCTCTAAGAAAGTTATAGAGGTAATAACTGAATAATTTTTGTTGTATTCTTTTAAAGGAAAATTTCAATTTAGAGTGTTTTTTAAAAATTTTAAAATTCTGATTTATGTCCATTTAAAAAATGGTTTTAAGCTGACCATTAATCCTAACACTCAGGTAGAATCAGTGAAGTCTTTGAGTTTGAAGCCAGCCTGATCTATATAATAAGTTACAGGGTAGCCAAAGCTACATAGTGAGATCATATTTCACAATTAGTTAACTGACTAATTAAACATTGTTTTAGGGGTTGGGGAGGCAGCTTAGTGGATAAAGGGTTTGTTGTACAAAATTATGGCATATGTGCGGATTCCAAGTACTTAGGTAAAAGTGACCGCCTGTAACCCAAGTGCTAGGGTATATATGTAGGCGGATCATAGGAGCTTGCTGACCATCCCCAAATGGCAAGCACTAGGTAAGAGAGCATCTCAGAAACAGTGTGGAAAAACAATAAAGTAAGACATCCCAGTGAAGGCCTCTGGTTTCTCTATGTGAACATGTAGCAAAACAAAATGAGAAGACAAAGATTGTTTTGACACTGCATAGTTTGATGTTGAAGTTAAAACTATGCCAATCATTTTACTCCCAGCAGCCGCTCGTAGGTTAGAAATTAGACTCAGGTATGTGTTTGGCTTAAGAAAAAGGCGATTTAGGCCATTGAAACCACATAAGCCATCCCTTGAGTACATCAGTGTGTGATTGTAGTGTTAGGTAGGTTCTCTGTACAAAATTAGCTTTAAGACTTACTGAGAAGGGCCTCAGTGCCCCACCCTGTCAAAGCTCAGGGCAACACCAATCCTTGTGAATATTGGCACTGATATTTACGGATTAAAATGCAGATATGTGAAGAAAAAGAAAGAAAGAAAAAGGAAGTTTCTTTTACTTCCTGGCAGATAGTGTTTTGGAATTTTGTGTATGGTAGTCTTTGATAATGAGTGCTTATAAAGTGAAGAAGGAAAGGATGAAAACACCATTGATTGGTCAGTCAAGAGACATATATAGACATTTGTCCTGAACAGCTTTTATTATTACATCATCTGTTAAGTCCTATTGATACTGCCATTTTTGTTTGTTCTTATTGTTTGGGTTTAATTGCTTACCTATTATTGTATTGCCTAGTTATGCCTTCTTGCCTACATTTTTTTTCTTGACATAAGCCTATATATATATACTAACAGTAGAAAGGGAAACTTAAACATTAAAATATTAGAAATGAAAACAACGATGTTTAACATCTTCTCGGGTACATCTGCAGCATTCCTTTGCAGCATGTCTGAAGTACTGTGTTCATCTGAAGTCAGTGAAGCCAGGGGAGTTGCGTGAATGTGCTTTTTTTTCCAGGCTCTGTTCTTTGTGTATCCCATTGCTCTTAGTTTTTTTTAATGTTCCTCAATTTGGTTTTGCAGCACAGTATGTGAAATACTTTCTCAGTCAAGTTGCGTATCTTTTCAATCCTTAACTATAAGATCATGGATCCGTTGTGTTTTGCAAATGCACATAAAACACCTCTCTGAACCTGCTTTGCTGATTGAGATGAATCCTGAACAGGCCATGGGTAAGTGTTGTCATATAAGGCATGCAGGCAGTATCAATGGAAAGCTTTTGGCTCTCTGGATTAAATAAACTATTATCAAATATTCAAAATATATTTTTAATTAGCTATAAATATATATATAAAATGTACTTTTGGAGTCTGTTGCTTTTTATTGATACAGTATTGTTATTTCATATGGCAGATATCCCTGCTACAAATAACTAATTTTCTTAGTGCTAAGAACCAAAACTTCTTCCTCAGGTAACAGGTGGCTTTTCCTCTGAAGAAGTGATCCTGTACAAAAAGAGAAATCTGAAACATACTAAGTACCAAAAAAGAAGTCTATGCAGCTAGGGATATTTTCCCCATTTTCATAAAATGTTTTGCTTTTCTGTTTTACTGTTTGTCACTGACTATTATTTGTGCATTTTAGAATTTCCATGCAGTTCTGTTTTGTGTCAACAGCTTTCTAAAAGGCTGTTATTTGTAGCCTCTTATAAGTTTCACTGAGGCTGGCCTGAAAAAGTTTGTACCTTTTTTTTTGTATCTGGTATAGTTTTTGATATCTCAATAAGTTTTTGGGTTAGGATGATCATAAGTATGAAAAGTCTAATTTCATTTTTAATTTTGTGAAAATTTGAGTTTTTGTAACATACTTCAAAATTGAAGGACATATTCCAGCCTATGTATGTATGTACACCAGTGTATGTACAACTTACATAAGATTTTAAGTTTTATTAAATATTTATTAATAAGTATGATTATTATCTCATTTTAATAGAAAAAGAATACATGGAACAACTGGCTGAAATGACAAGATTACTATTTACACTCTCAGAAGTAAGGAATATCTTCTCAAAGGCTCAAATAGAATATTTGCCCAGCCCAGAAGACCCCAAACAAGCACTTATTCAATTCCTTGAGGTATTTTCATTAGTATAATCTTCCAAATCATTTTTTTAAGAAAACTTTGAAGTATTATTAAATTTTTTTTATGAAATGAATTGTTTAACTTAGCAAGTCATGTTGTTAGTGTGCTATTATAAAATTTGGAGTAAGGAAGTGTTGCTCTCAGGTATAGTATGATTTGCTGTAAAGACAGCAGAAAATCCATATGTAATGAATAATAGAAGTAAGGAGGATTACATGGAAGCTTTGCTTCAAGGCCACCTGAACTAAAGTAGTGTCTTATTGTTACTGTTGGTGGGTAACGATTCAGATACTAACTTTAGTACAGAGTCTACAGTCGTTTAGCTGAGTATTTACTGCCCTATGACTATGCTGCAAACACAAGCACCAGCTATTTCATAGTAGGATCGGGACTTGAAAATCTAATCCATTTCTTTTGATTTTACTTCAGAATAAATTCCACTTAAAATTATAGTAAAATCTAATCCATTTCTTTTGATTTTACTTCATAATAAACTCCATTTAAAATTATAGTTTCGATCATTAATTTTAAAGAAATGTAACATGTGGTACTGTTTATTTAATCCTAGCTGAAACTGTTGATGCTTGGATTATTCTGTTTTGTATGTATTCACAGCAAAAGTAGGTTTACTTTCCAGCTTATTGATACTAACTACATGAAAATTAAGTGTGTGAAAATAATTTCAACCAATAAGCTATTTCTATATTGGTAACTCAGTCATTTCCATTGATTTCCAGTATTTAAAAAAAAAGCATGACAATTAGAGATGTGTGACAGCCCTAATGATAGTTAATAACATAATAATATTCAGATATGAAATATGCATTTCTGTTGAGTATTTTATGTAACTGTTGAGTGCATCCTGACCAACAGTTTTGAGTCAAAGAGGAGGGGGCAGTGTTCACTAGCAGTTAGATCTCCTCTAATTTAATCCAGTCTAAATGAATTTTTCTTTTTACCAATAAATCAATGATAGGTTTTTGCAAAATGCTAGATAGCATTATCTAGGACCCCTTAGGGATTTGATCTAAAAGGAACCTTACTGATTTGAGAATTTAAGTTATACAAAGGTTAAAACAATGATACGAAGTGTTAAGTACTTAATGCCAGTCTGTCGGTGGATTTATCAGTAGGAGAAAATCAGAGTGTCTTGGTGTAAAGTAGTTAGAATTTAGCCTGTGCAGAACATGAAGAATTTTTTTGTTTTGTTTTTTAAGTCCGATTTTGCTAAATGACTTACTTTGAAAGTTAGCGAAAGTAATATAAATTATGGTTCATGTTTAGGAGGATTGAAAGCTGAGAACATTGCTCCTTAGGAGAGGTTTCAGATATCTTCTTGTTCCCATGGGACTCAGCATATAGCCACTAGAGCCTGTCACAGAAAGAGGATGAAAAAAGCACAGGATACAGAGGAAAGGTACATGGGATGAAATGTGGACATCAAAAACCAACCAAAACAAACAAAACAAAAAATCGCAACCCCAGAAAGTTTCTATACGTCTTTTCCCAATGAAGTTACCCAGAACATTGTTATTTCTGCAGCAACAATTTGTGGTAAAATATCAGATTTTTGTTGACCAGAGAACCTTAGCACTCAGTGTCCATGGCTAGTTACATACAGTCCCCTTGTCTTATACTTTGTGAATTCCAGACTTGGAGAATGAAGGCAAGTATCTAATATAAAACCTACTGATTGTAGTAGGTGTAGTAAGCCATTCTCATAAAAGAATCACAGCAAGAAGTCCTCCAAAACTTTAAAGCCCTAATTACTAAGGCCCATTCTTAGATGTGGGCTTTTTTTTTTTTAATAAATAACATACCAATGTGGGACTTAGTGTGGTTTTTCTACATTGAAATAATAGTATGATATATATATATATGTAGTTATCAAAGTACTAAGAAACACATTATAGAGCTGGAGAGATGGTTCATTGAGTAATAGTACCTGTTGTTCTTAAAGAGGACCCAGGTTTAATTCTGAACACCAAAATAGCAGCTAACAATCAGTTACCTTCAGTTCTGGGGATTTGCTCTCTTAATGGCTCTTTGAGTATATATTAAATTAAAAACTGTATGTATGTATATTATGAATATATATACTATATATATATTACACATAATATTGTTTTCGTAGTGTTTCTATTGCTGTGAAGAGGCTCAGTGGTCACGCCAACTCTTAAAAAGGAAAATATTTAATTGGAGCTGGCTAACAATTTTAAGTTAGTCCATAATTGTCATGGTAGGAAGCACGGCATCAAGAGACAGATGTGGTGCTGGAGAAGGAGCTGAGTTCTACAGCTTGATCCGAAGGCAGCAGAAGGTACCACACTGGGTGTAGCTTGAGCATAGGAGACTTCAAAGACCACTCCCAGTTACACACTGTCTCCAACCAGACCACGTCTAATAGTTCTCACAATGTTATTTATCCTAAAACCCTACTGACAGTTGTACAAATTTTGGGTAGGTGTTAGCATGAACCAGCACTATGGCCTTAGATTATAATGATAGCCATTAAAATGTATATTTGTGTAAATTAGAAAAGTAAAGCTAGTTCATTAAAGAATAATATTAATTAGGGAATAAGGTTTAAAAGTTCATGAAATTTCAACCCTTAAGCTCATTCTTCAAATGAAAATGCAAAGTGCACGTGAAGGGCTTCAGTGTGCCAAAGCAGTGCATTGTCTAAAGAAAGAGCCTGTGAGCACTTGAGTTGCAAGCTGTGCTGACTGCTTTTATCTTGAAAGAAAACTGACAAAATGTGATTATTCAGACTTGGGCCTTTGGCAGACATTTCTCTTTTTCAGAAATGAATGAAGTAAGTAAGCCTATCACTTCAAAGAAAACAACTGACAGTATCTGTTGCTAATAATGCAGTTCAGGTTTTCAAGAGAATTAAAATTTGGGAGATTTACATGAACCTTCATGAGCTGAGAGCTCCCTGATATTTAAAGACTTCTGTGGGAATGGGATGGTATCAGTATGTATCATTTCTTGTCCAGGATGGAATTGTCAACATTGTCAGTAATATCACTCATTAACTTTACAAATTTCCAAGCGTATTTAGCAACTACTCATGGGTAAAAGATTCATTCAGAATTCAGAGTTCTGAATTCAGTTTTATTGATGTGGTTTTAGAGCCCATGAGATTGTCCAACTTTAGTTACTATTGGCCTCTAAGAAATATCACTTGAAAATTTTGGCATAATAGGATGGAAAGCTTCCTAGTTATTTGATAACAGCTTTCAAAATACTTTTCCTAGCTCTGTGTATTTGTGAGGTTGGACAGTCTTTATTCGTTGTGCCCCTACTACGCCCCTACCAGCACCGTACTCTTTCTTTTTGCATGTCATATGTGAGGAGTCTAGGCTCCCAATTAATAAGTATCTTGAGCTAAACAGTAAAAGTTTCAAGGTATTCTTGCTTACAAGAGAGTGGAGATCAAAAGTTTGTGAACTTCTGAGGAATGAAATTTTCAAACAGCAGAAAGCTAAATGAAAAAGAAAAGGGTTAGTTAGTAAAATCATCTCTTCTCATTTGCCCACGTCACTGGGCTTCTTTCCTTTTCTTCATTCCACGGGACCTACTTCTGCTTACCTTCTCAAGATTATGCTTCATTTTTTATCTACCTCAGTTAGACCTCGTGGAACTTAATGCCAACTATTCTGAACAGTGCTCTCAATCTGTGATCTCTCATGCAACCTCAACCTTAACACAGCTCCTTCCTCTGGTTTACCCTCTAGGCGCTGGTAAGGAGGGTTGAATAACTTAAGTGCTGTTTTTTTGTTTTGTTTTTGTTGTTGTTGTTGTTGTTGTTTGTTTTTTATCGAGACAGGGTTTCTCTGTGTAGCCCTGGCTGTCCTGGAACTCACTCTGTAGACCTCTGGCCTCGAACTCAGAAATCCACCTGCCTCTGCCTCCCAAGTTCTAGGATTAAAGGCGTGCGACACCACCACCCTGCTTTGGTGCTATTTTAACTCTAATGTACGCCATTTGAGAGCTCCAAGAGTGATCTGAAAACTTTCCTCAAACTTTCTAATCCATTCTATAGTTACCTCTTGGTTCTTTTATAGCTTCTTACAACCTGCTTACCCTCACACTCCTCACAAGCTCGTTGGGTTTATTATCTCTTTTCTCTTCCTCTTCTTGCTGCCTCACCTCACATTTCTGTTGACCACCACTTGGTTTGTCCCATCGTTAGCCTCTCAACCACATTTTCCTGAGTTCTCCACTAAGAACATTAAGCCAGCTAGCTAGCGGATGTCTCATTAAAAATATTATCTAAGCTGTTAATTGTAGAGGGACATCAATTCATATCATATAGCTGAATTAAGAGATTTCCCTTGTAAGAATTTGGCAGTACTACTTGGTCCTCTTTCCCATAGGAATTTGGAGATTTCCAGTCATATGAATTATGTACCAACCTGTGTAGAAAGCTTTAGCTGATTATAAGCTTCTTGTATAACAGTTTGATGTTTCTTCCCTCTAATGATTTTGCTGAATCATATGCCCTGTAAATAACTACTGATGAATTGTTTTGTTTTTGTTTGTTTTTTAATTCTTCCATTGACCTTCAATTATAAAAGGTAGAACTTAACTCTTTTCACTTCAGGTTTTTGGTTTTTTGCTTGTTTATTTGGTTGGTTTTTGAGACAGGGTTTCTCATGTAGCCCTAGCTGTCCTGGAACTCATTCTGTAGACTAGACAGGCTTCCTATCTCTGCCTCCTAAGTGTGGGGATTAAGGGCAAGCACCACCACTACCTGGCCTTCAGTTGTTTTAATTTTTGTAAGTCTTTATTGGAAATTTAAGAACGAAGGCCTAAGTATAAGATACATGTATAGTGAGAAAGAAAGAAAAAAAATAGTTTTCAAGGTCTGTATTATATAAGACTTGTAATGTTTAAACTATGTTTTCCTTTATTTATAGGCTGTTGGTGTGACTTACAGGACTCTCCAGACATTAACTGATAAATCTGTCATGGTCACAAAGTCCTTAGAATACCTTGGTGAAATATTAAAATACATAAAGCCTTATTTGGGGAAAAAAGTTTCCAGTGCAGGATTGCAGCTGACTTATGGGATAATGGGTATGTATTTCAGACATGTTTTTCCTTAGGCCAAATCACTTAACTCTATGTGCAGGCATAAGAAAGCATAAAATACAGTGGTTTGCTGAAATAATTTGTGGTGGTCCTCATTTTTTGCTATACTTTTATTGATACTAATATTAATATTAGTTATGATAACATTATTAATATTAATTATGATAGCAGAATATATGCCCAAGCTAACTGCTGCAAATAGTCCATTTAAATCACATTGTGAATACCCAGAAACACGAAAACGAACCTTCTGTTGATGTTTACCAACATTTGGCTAGAAGTCAGATCATCAGAAAGCCATCACTTCCTTTGTTGTTTCTGGGGTTCTCTGCATGAAGGGGGGGCCACCGAGGACTAGTATAAACCAGTGATGAGGCTCCGAACCTTATTCCTCACACACTAAGCTTTCTCTTTTCAAAAAGAAATCTTTTTCTACTTGTTCTATAATAATGGGGTTCATATTTCCTTAGGAAGTCAGTAATTTGAATATCTTTGTTGACCAAAACCATGTTGCTAACCAAAAATAGGAAATGAATAAAAGGAAATGAGAAAGATTTCCTTAGAAGTTTTATATAGAATTTAAGTTTTGGGTATTTTTTTTTTAATATTTATTTCTCAATGGTCAAAACCTTGTATCTATTCCCTTTAATCTTGTGAATGTATAAATAAACCTTATTTGGGCTGTCTGAACCCTTTTATCTTTGTTTTGAAAGATAAAGGAGCATGGGAAGCTGTGGAAATGTGGATAACTGAAAGCAGTATTGTAATTCAGATTACTTAATTTTAGAAAAAAAGTTAGTGGAGAGAGATCTACATTCTAATTTTAACTCAAGATTATGATTTATTAGTCTCTAAGAAAGTTTTCTGACATTTCCAGATTTAGTTTTTGCCAAGGTAAGTGTATGACTATAGAAGTATGTCTTTACATTACAGAGTATATGATAGTTGTGTCAAGAATCACAGAATCCCGTGTGGATTAATGACTTGTGGGTTTTGGGCAAGATTTTGCTTATGAGGGCTTTTTTGTTGTTGTTTTGCCTTGAGCCTTTTTTTTTTTTTTTCAAACATGTAGTTCTAGATTCTTTCCATCTGTCTAGGTCTCAAATGTGAGAATGGGTTATGTAAATTGCTCATTTGTTCATTAGAAATTAGAACAGTAGCTTGCTGTTTTCTTTACATAGAAGACTCAGAACAGAATGGAGAGAGAGCAGTTCCTAACTCAGGATACTGCTCTTGTTTTTTTACAAGGCTGCTAGTGGAAGTCATCAAAACTACATTCCAGGTTAAAGAGAGTACCTGGAATTCTAATAATAGTTGAGTAATTTCTGAGAAAGAGGAATCAGTACTTCAACTCCCCTTCAGAATTGTCTTTCTGAGGGAAAGATGGACTGGAGAAAGTTGGTTTGGCTTTGGTTTGGTTTTCTCATTCTTTCTATGTCAAATGTCACTTCTTTGCTCCAGTGTCTTTGTTTATTCTTTCCCATTTGTCTTAATTGAGATTGTACCAGTCTCCCTTTTGTGCCAGTCCCTGTATTCCCACCGGCTTGGTCTTTGCTGTTTCATCCCGTTTGTCCACCTTGGGTTTTTTTTTCCCCCTGCTGTCTAATTTGACTTGTTTCTATGCTAAAATAAATTTTTTAAAGAGTAAGAAAATATTCTGATTAGGAGATAATTGTAACCGAAACTGCTTCTCTTCCTTCTTAGGAGTTCTTGTTAAGTCGTGGGCACAAATCTTTGCCACCTCTAAAGCACAGAAATTACTGTTTCGGATAATAGACTGTTTATTGCTGCCACATACAGTGCTACAGCAGGACAAGGAGTTGCCTGTACCCATGCTGACTGCAATTCAGAAGACTCTTCCTCTGTATCTACAGGTATGCTGACAGCATAGTTTGAAATACAGATTAAAAAGCTAGACATTTTAATCCCCAAAGTACATACTTATATGAGGCACATCCATTGAAAAAGGTTAAATGACTTTGGGGTTATCTTTGAAAACAAAGATAAGAGAGGCAAATTTTTAAGAAGCTTGATGTGGGAAAGAGGGCAAGGAGCTCAAAAGTGTTGAGAAACAGGCTCAATATTTTCTTTTGACATCATAGTTCTGTGGTAACCAGACTGGGTAGAAGAGACCAGAAAGGCAGCACTGGGTGTGAAGGGCAGAATGCCTAGGAGTCAGAGGGCCGCCATTTCCGTGACCCAGAGCAAATTGGGTAGGAAAGGGTTTATTCGGCTTAGTCTTCCACACTGTTACTCATCACTAAAGGAAGTCAGGGCAGCAACTCAAACGGCAGAATCCTGAATGTGAGAGCTGATAAAGGCATGGAAGGATGCTGCTTACTGGCTTGTTTTCTGTGGCTTGCTCAGCCTGCTTTCTTAGAGAACCCAGGACCATTAGCTCAGGATTAGAACCACTCAAAATGGGCTAGGCCCTCCTCATTCATCAGTCACTAATTTAAGAAAATGCCTTACAGGATTGCCTACAGCCAGATTTCAGGGAATCATTTCCTCAAGTAAGGCTCCTTTGTCTGATAACTTTAGCTTGTATCAAGTTGACACACACACAAAACCAGCCAGTGCAGTAAACCAAGACAAAGGAATGAGCTTTCAGAAAAAATCTAGCATACTGGGGAAAGGTAAACGGTTCTGTTGTGGCTGGAAACTCATATAGGAAGAGACTTGTGATAGAGAGCTTTATATTCAATGCCAAAAATCTGGATTTCACCTCACATTTAGGAAATGCTGGTAGATTAGGAGCAGAGAAATGGAAGTTCTATTTGTATTTGAGAAAAATAATCCTGTTGTGGGAGTTAGATTTAAGACCCAGGAGGCAGTGGTTAGTTTATTGAAATACTGGAAAGTTTAAACTCAGGCAGTGAGATTGGAGGCCATGTAGATGTTAGAACCTTTGATGAGCTCTGATTAAGAAAGAATACATGCTGAAATATGGTGGAAAAACAGAAGTGAATGCTTCCTAGACTAGACCTGTAGAATCTAGAATGTGGTGCTGGTAACTAAACCGAGGATTCTAGAGAAGCAGCAGTGAGATAAAAGTTGTACGGATTTTGTTGTGTTGTTGGGTTTTTTGTTTGTTTTGCTTTGGTTTTTTGCACTAGACATGGCGGCACGTATTGGTAGTACCAGGACCCATGAGTTCTGGGTCAGGCTGGAATACATAGAGAAAAAGTTGGCTTTTTAGGAGCTTTAGTTTGAAATGATGTGGAATGTGTAAATAATGACGTCCCATGGGCAGTCTGAAATACTGATCTTTTTCATTAGTGTGCAGTACTGAAAGTTAGACCTTTCTAAATTTTGAGGCTCCCCAAAGAAGCCAATGTGAAAGGGGCAGGTTTTGATTAGTTAACATGCAGTCTCTTCCATGGTGGATTTTTTTTTTAAAGCAAAGTTTTGAGAGTTCTGAGAAGTTTTAAGCTGACTCTAGCTAAGTGTATATGATGGGATTTAAGTCAAAGTTTACTGTGTCATCAGGCAGATGGGCTGGAAGTCAGTCAGTCATGTGGAGGAACAGATATGTGTGTGGAATAGAGTTGTGAGTACCAGAAAAGTCTGGGTGTTTGTCCTATGTGGTCCTCTTAAGCATACGTTACTTGTAAGACTTAGTAAATGTTTCTTAGTAATAAATTGAGACTGTTGTGGAATTACAAACTTGACAGAACTGTCAGGAAACCGATCTTTAGTTGTTAAATGTCCTCTGTCCTCTTTGGGTCTGTGGGATCCATCACATTTTCTTGCTGTGCATGTTCCTAAAACACAGCACACAAGAGACCGGGTGAGTGCGTGCCACTGGGGTTTATTTCATTGTGCTCTTGCCACTATTTCAACAGTTCTGCACCGTTTTCACTACAAATGAACTTTTAGAGTTTGTTACGGATAAGCATTCAATTATGACTGCAGTCCTAACAAACATGCAGAAAAGTCTTTGTTTTCCCAAGGGAATGGATTTAATCATTTCTAAGTATTAAATACTGTTATATATAAGTTTGCTCACTTTCATGCACATGGAAGGATTTTATCTGTACACATGCAGCAAGATACTGTGAGTTCCTTTGACTTCTTTTAAGCTCTTAATTTCTCCAAACCTCAGTTTCCTTGACTGTAGGATGGAAGTGTAATATTAACTCCTTTATTCTGCAAATTGAAATGAAATAATGAATATAAAGCACTTGGTACAATGTCACATAGAAAACTTCTAAGTCCAAGTATCTGCATCCCTCTCCCATTACAAGTTGTTAAGACAAATGATTCTATTTCATTATATGATCAATATATTTTCTTTTAGCTTAAATGTTATGTTCTTAGCCAAAATGACTGAATGGTAACTAACTCCCTTCCACCTGTCTGCCTTTGTGGGATTGGCAGTCCAAACTCTGTGGGATGGGCCTTTACTCTTTTATCTTTCTTTTTGATAACAAACTGAGTTTTGATTTTAAATACTTTAAAAAAGACTGATGACACATGTATTTTGTAATTCAGTAATGGCCTGGGTATGTAGTTGATGGTCATGGTAGTCAAGTATTTTTGCAGGAGGAAGAGAGGAAGAAACACATTCCCTATCTCTTCCTGTATGTTTACCTTACTTCCTTTGATCATGCTCCTAGAATATGTATGCTTGGTTAGATTCCACACTGTATGTATTATCCAAAGTCATCTCAAGAAGGGCCATGTGTGTCTGACTTATTCATGACGCCAGAAGTCCTACTGACAGTGAGAAGGTGCAATTTTTACCATGAATGCTGGAGAACATGTTAGTAAATTCCTAAACATTATTTGAAACTTTGCCTTTTAGCTTTTTTTTTGTTGTTGTTGTTATTTTCCCTTGTACAGGGTATATGTATTGTGTGCTGCCAGTCTCAAAATCCAAATGCCTACTTGAATCAGTTGCTAAGGAATGTCATTGAACAGTATATAGGGCGGTTTCTCCCAGCCTCGCCCTGTGTTTTGGATCTTGGACAACATCCTGTTCTGTTGGCACTGAGAAATCCTGCCTCTGTTCCATCAACGATGCCTCTAAGGAAGCACATTGTCCATGCCATAAGGTACATATAACATATAATTATTGCAAAGAGGTATATGTAGAACTTATTAATATCATCAAAAAATAGTTCAAATAATTCAAAGTATCAAAGTTTGTTTCTTATTTCTGTCTAGTAGTATTCTGCAGCATAACTATAAAACTATTTGCTCATTTTCCTACTGAAGACATATTCCCTCTTCCTAATTAATTTTATCTTATTCTTTCTAGGAAGAACATTTATATAAAGTTAACATAACATTTATATAAAGTCTTTATGTGAACATGCATTATCATTTCTCTGAGAGAATGATAGGAGAGTGACTGTTGGTAATTGTGACAGCTACATAGTTAAAGATCTACCAGAATGTTTGATAGCTCCTGTGTGTTTTAGATTAAAATTTTTTTTTGTTAAATTTATATTTGCTTTTAAGATTATGTCAGTTTTCACAATTTGTCTGTTACTTTCCTTATATACATCCCTAAAGATATGTTTATATGGGCTGAAGCAACAGCCTAGTAGTTAAGAGTACTGGCTACTCTTCCAGTGGACCTGGGTTCAATTCCCAGCACCCATATGGCAGCTCACAGCTGTCTATAACTCCAGTTTCAGGGAATTTGCCACCCTTATACACACATGCGGGCAAAACAGCAGTGTGCATGAGATCAAAATAAAAATTTTAGAAAGAAAAAGAAAAAAGTTACTTAAAGATATATTTGTATTATTTTCATTACAATATAGTATGTAGCAATTACTTTATGAATGATAACTGAAACCATGAATGCTGATAAGCAATAAAAAGTCTTTTGTTATTAGTTTACTGATTATCTTAATTGTTTTATTTCCTGTCTTGTATTAACACTTCCTGTAAAATATCTATCAAGTGTGGCCTTATCAACCCTGAAGACAGGCCAGTTCCCTCTCCTTGTGAGCCCTGAGCACTGGGTCTCTACCAGAATGTTAATGTTGACACAAGCAATATGGAGACAGGGACACCAGAAGCTCACTGTAGACCAAGCTGTCACTTCCTTCTCACTAAGCTCAAATAACCACAGGAAGGCCAGCTTAACAGCAATGGACTAATCTGAGTCCTGACTGTTACCATTCCTCATGAAGATCACTTGAGTTATGTAGGTCTAAGGTTGGTTATGTGGCATAGCTTCCATTTTGTGGTATTTCAACAAATACATACTTTAGGCATGATTTTTCCCTCTTTGTAGACTAGGCCTTCCTCTATACTGTCACTTGTAGAATACCTGATAAGGCAGTTTAGTGTCCTATGCATGTTGGCATCAGGCCACAGGACCTTGTTTTGTGTAAAAAATAGTGAAAAAGAGCACATGATTAGACAATTCACGGCTCCATGGTATTCTCCAATTCCTCAGCATTGAACATGTATGCTCCTTTCTTGGCAGTTACTAAAACATAAGACTGTCTTCAGTCTTACTGTCTGTGACATGATGTCACAATATGCAATTCCCAACTACGTAACTTGGTGTAGAGATTGATTCTTCTCAGTTAGCCTCTACTGAGAAGATAGGAAGAATATTTCTAGAATATGGACGATATCTGGGGGAATGTTTTCTTGATTTTGGATCTTTGAACTGACAAGAAAGGTATAGCCTCTCATCAGCTATGGCTCGGGTGTAAGACACACAGGAGTATGTGTCATTCCAACTGAAATAATGCAGGGGTGAGTGGCTTTATAACATTCAGTCCCCCATCTTTACTTCATTTTTCATCAATTACAATTTAGCTTTTTAAAGATTTATTTATTTTATGTCACATATTTATAAGTGTTTGGCCTGCATGAATAGTATTGTACCACTTACATGCCTGGTACCTATAGAAGCTAAAAGAAGGTATCATATGCCCTACAACTGGAGTTTTGGATAGTTGTGTGCTGTCACTGGAGCACAGGGAACCCTACTCAGTTCCTGTGCAGCAGGAACAGGTACTCTTACCTGCTAAGCCATCTCTCTAGCATTAACATCTTAAGATTGTTTCTGTTTGTTTATTTTTTTAAACCATCCTTTTTATCCTTTAACCAAAACATTACAATAGTCAGTGATAGAAATTATCTTCCCTTTGTCTTAATGCAATATTTAACATTATACTATTTTTTAAACTTTTGAGATTCTAGGTAATATAGATTAATGGTATCTAGTATTAAGTTTCTGTGCTTAAATGCTATAACTGCTTTCTCTCGTTTTGTCTCTATCTGTTTTTCTCTGTCTCTCTTTGCTCTCTGTCTATCTTGGGGGGAGCAGGATTTCCTCTTCATGGGAAGGCCAGAGGACAAACAAAGAGGTCATGTTTTGGTGTCATCTTTCTTTCTTTGAGACACAGTGTCCCACTGGCTTAGATTGCCCAGGAGGCTGGGTTGGTAGTCCACCCCAGACATCAGCCTGGCTCTCCCTCTGTAGTAATGACATTACAGTACAAACAGTTATGCCTGAGTTTTTATTTCCGTTTTGGGGATTGAACTCAGACCCTTGTGATTATAATGCAAGTGTGTACTTCACTGACTGAGCCACCTCCCCATCCTTGACTTAATCTTTTTAATGATCAGATGTAAACATAGAATTGTTTCTCTTATATTCCTAGAATCATGTAACTCGGAAGCTTCATAGTTTGTTGTTTTCACATTTCTCTTAGCACACTACATTATGGTCTCATCACTGTATCTAGCTTTTGTTCTTATAAAAAAGAAAACCCTCTTCTCTCTTTTTGTTTTCTTGTTTTTTTTTTAATGGTATGTTTGCTTTTGTTTGTGTGTTTTGTTTGTTTTTTGTTTTCTTTTTTAGTACAGGTTCTCAGTGTCCCCTTGCCTGGCCTGGAACTCACAAAGATACACTAGTGTCTGCCTCCCAACTACTAGGATTAAAGGTGTGCACCACCAAGGCCAGCCAGATTAATTTTGACACTTCTCTGCTCTCCACTGTGCATGGTCTCCTTTTTGCTGTGTAATGTGATCTACTCTAGCTACCCAACGTTTGTCAGTTATCTTTTCTGGTAATACTGCCCCTGTCCTCCACGTGTCCCACAAACGCATGACCATGTTTGGTTATCGCTCTTCAAGATGCTTTATACTTCCCTGCATTAAAGCGTTGTCCCTGCCAGTCTCTTCATTAAAAAGCCATTCCTCTGGGCTCAATCCTGTTTGTTTTTTTTAGAAACCTGCACCTAGTACCACAGGGTGGCATATGTCTTGCATGACTCAGTTTTCAGATTCTGAATAATTTTTTTGCCTCATTTAGATCTTTATTGCCAGCAAGATTATAGTAATCTGTTACAGTGTTTGAAACATTGCCTGGTTTTAATTTTAGATTCCATCACAAATGGGGAGGTGAATTCAAATCCCTGTCAGCAAGTTAAGCCCCTTGCTTCATTTGCCAGCTAGATTCTCAGCTTTCTGTTGTACTGCATGTCTAGCTAAGGATGGGTTTATTTATTCTTCTTTCCACGGTAGGTTCTAGTTGACTAGAAACGTGTGTGTGTTTGGTTTTGTTTTCAACATTTAGCATAAATGGAGGTGGGCTCCTATGGCTGCTCTAGTCTGCATTTCTCTACTATATGATCTGTTTGAGTTAGGCTCCTAGCTCAGAATTTCTGATGATTTTGTCCTTATATTTGTCAAAGCACTACTTACATGTATTAAAGTTGCCTTTTTTCTTTTCTTTTTTTTTTTTGTTTTTTTGTTTTTGGTGTGGTCGTATCTAAGTTCTACACTAGATAATGAATCTGTGGTTTGTTCTTTTCCACTTAATTGTATATGTTTATTTTTAATTTGCTTCTGGTATCTAGTATGTGGCAAGTAAATGTTTATTGTGGGGCATTAGTAATTCAACAGTGCACAGAACAAAACAAATGCTGCCTCAGAGAGTGGCTGTATCTAGGATTGTAAAATTTGTGAGAGTTACTGTGAGTGGACCAAGAGTGATTCTGAAGTATAGTTCCTGAGATAAGTTTATAAGCCCTAGAGTTTACTGTGTCTCCTTATGTATACTATTAGTTCTCACATATGTGTGTGAGATTTGGACTGAGTAGTATCTGTGTTTGGGAATGGACCTCCATGAGAGGAAGCTTGCCTACCTTGTACAAGGTGCTAAGCTCGTCAGCAAGATTAAAAATGTATTGGGGCAAGGGTTAAATGATGTTTGACCAACTCTCATAGCTGGTAGATTTTTTTCAAAAGAAACTCAACACTTGTCACGCTTGTTCATTTTCTGACCAGTGACCAGAACTAGTTCTAAGCAGTTAAGTGGGAAGCTGAGTCAAGGAGGGTGTTATTCTTACAACCTCTCTTGATTTTAATGTTACAGTTTACTGTACCCTGAGAGATGATATTCAATCTGAAGTTAGTTCTCTAAATTCCTACTGGAAGAAAGATAAAGCTAGAACTGGAAGGTAATTCCTAGTATAGTCCGTTTATTTATTTAGAAACATAAGACCCCTCCTAAATTCTAAATAAATAAATGTGAGGGGAGATTTATTTATGCAAATTTGACATTAGAGGAAATGTTGATTCCTGGCAAAGCTGATAAGGGATATGAGACATCCATGGGAACAGAAGAAAACAAGTTAGCAGTTAGGTTTGGTAAATTCATCTTAAAGCTAAGTTGCTTTAAGTTTTCTTTATATCTCTACTAGCTTTCAGAGCACACAACACACCAAAATGGACTTTGCAATTAACTTAATAGACTATGTACATTGTTTTTAAAAAATATACTTTATTTAAGGGATAGATTTTTATAGTAACTTTAACACACATGGCATTGATTCTACTCAATAGAGCTTTAAATAGAAGAAAAATAAATAAAGTTTGCTTCTTCTCAGGAAATCCTACCTTGAGTTTAAAGGGTCATCACCCCCTCCTCGGTTAGCATCCGTATTGGCCTTCATCCTCCAATTCTTCAAGGACACTGAAATGGGTGTTTGTGACCTTGAACTACTCCTTCCTGGCATCATGAAGTGTTTGGTGTTGGTAAATGAACCCCAAGGTTAGTTTCATCAGCCTTGATTTTTGTCAGCATTTTCTGTGAACAAGCTAAGGAACTATTTTTTCCCATGGATTAAATTGATAGCTATTAAAGGTACAGGGTTGTTTTCCATCCTTTTGTATGTGTCATGGCTAAAGAATCAAATAGTGGCAGTAGCTGGGGTGACGGGGAAAGGAATCAGAATTGGACACAGTTCAGCCTATTTTATTTAGAGTTCTGTTTTGTTTTCCCCACTCTTCCTGAGGCAAGTAGTTTATGGGGTATTTCCTTTGATTAGACTTTTTAGCATCTCAATAAAATAAAATAAAAGTCTGTGCAGGCTTACTGTGATATCACATAAGACTTGTCAAGTATCAGGTGGCAGACGGTCAGTCTCTTGCCTTTCCTTGTCTACTAGAATGTCCAAGCTGTTTGGGAAAACCCTGGGCAAACCCTTTGGTTCCAATCCGTGTTCTCTTAGTCTCATCAGCCTTAATTTACATGATCACTCTAAAGTGTGATCTCTAGTCCGTCCATCCCCCACCTCCCACGCCCCCACCCCCACATGCTTTTAATAAGCTTACCGAGAATGCAGAACAGGAATCATAGTTCTGTCTTGATAAGCAGTTTGGCCAGTTAGGCCCTTGTTTTTGTGAAGAGGGCATGTGTGTTTTGTTACAATGTGATTGTCCTTTAACTGCTAAGTTTGCAGGGACTCAGAGGGACATGAGGGCTGTCCCCAAAATGGTGGTGGAAAGCTCAAATATACGTCATGTGTTCTGTCTTTTCTCAAAAATGTTAACAAGTTTTTAAATATACATTTGTTTCAGTGTTTATAGTATTCCTGTCTGTTCTTAGTCTGCGTCAGGAAAGAGTGGTCTGTTTATGTTTCCCTATTGTGCTGTCACTTGGGAGGAGGACATGCCCTCTGGTGGCTCCCGAGAGAACCTGGCTCTTAAGAACCACTGCCCTTGTTGAAGTTTAACACGTTGAGGTACATGAAAGCCTTGTACCTCTTCATTCAAGGTTTGCTTCCTCAGAGCAGACAATGCTGCAGTCGTATAGCCATGGTTTTGTTTCCTGTGGTGTCACCCACTACATGTTATCCACCATGGGCCAACTGTTAACACTAAAAGGAAAATTCTGGAAGTAATGATTCGTAAGTTTTAAATTATATGCTATTTGAATAGCTTCATCCAGATTGGATTCCACCAGCTCTCAGAAGTAGATAAGCTTCCTTACCTAGGGGAAAGCAGATGATATCTACAGTGTAGGCTTTCTTACTGAGATAACAAGAGTGGTATGGACCTGACTCTGGCAATCTTTGCACAGCTCTGACAAGACTAAAAACCGCTTCACTATGTGTGAGACAGCTACTTCCACACTGAGTCATGTAAACTGCAACAGTTTAGAGACACATTTGATGGGCCCAAAACAAGAGTTGTATAGCATTAAGCACATGCTAATCTTCCCTGTACTTGTTTCCAATCTTCTGCATGTGGTAGTGCACACCTTTAGGCCTAGCACTCTGCCTAGCTGGCAGAGGCAGGCCAGCTTGCTCTACAAAGTGAGTTCCAGAACAGCAAGGGCTACACAGAAAAACCCTGTCTTGAAAGAAAAAAGAGCATGCTAAGTTTTCCACACACTTTGCTCAGGTTTTCTATTAATGCAGCGTAGAGTGCTTCCTATTGCCTTCACAAGTAACCAAGTACGGAAGGTTTGCTTGCCTCTGTTTTGTAAGCTTCAGACTGTAATTGGCTGACCTCCTCCGATTTAAGGTGAGACAGTGATCATGAGGGACACACATGGAGGCATCATGCTAACTTGTCACACTGGAAACAGTGGAAGAAAAGGAATAAAGGAGGCAGGCTCTCCTCTGCACCGAGCGGTGTCCACCAGCATTTAACACATAAGCCTGTGGCACATTTAAGATCCAAATTGCAGCAGTATTTTTGCACTGTATGTATAGGCACACCGTTTTAAAGAATTACCTTAAATGAATAATACAAATGTTTGGCCAATTTAAAGCAAAGGTATGTTGGTTGGTCTAGTTTGCTACTTAAAGGTTTATAAGGGATGAAAGGTATGCTCCTATGAATTTAAAAATAAAATCAATATGTTTGCAAATCTATGTCTTTAAAAAGGCTCCCTTTTGTCTGTATGTATCTGTTTGTAAGATAGGGTGGAATGGGTTTTTGAATATGGATACCTTTCTAAAGGGGAAACGTCTTTATATGCATTATTTCAGCTTTGAGACTCAAAATAGATTTTTAAACTTTTTAGGTATTCTTCAGAACAAACAAACTTAAAACTATTTCATTTGAAAACTTAAAAAAAGCATGCACATACTTGAAGAAAACAACATATTTTTCTAAATCAAGAATGTTAAAAATGAAGAGCCAGATGGTCAGTTCAGACACATTGTGTAATCCTATCATTTTCTCCTAGTTAAAAAGCTGGCCACAGAGAACCTGCAGTGCTTGGTAAAAACCTGCCAAGTGGGGTCAGAAGGAGGACCTGCCACCCAGCTGACTTCTCTGTTTAGGTAACTGGAACACATGCCAACTGGCAAGGAGAGGGTTGCCAGCCATTTGACAGCCAACATGCTTTTTAAATAACTAATTATCCAAAACATAATGTGTTACTACTTGTTTACAGTGTTTCAATTATAGTATTTGGGGCAGTGGTTTTGTTACATTGTGTTGCTTTGTTGAAAAAGTAAAAGTACCAAGGAAAAAGGTAAGCTAACTGACTTGAAATTCCTTGTGTCTTCAGTGAAAAAGAATCTTGAATGTGGTTAAGAAGAAAAAAAAACAGAAGCAAATATAAGTTCAGACAACAGGTACACAGGCCTTTGGAGCTTGCTTCCCTGCTCCTGGGGATGCTGTGTAAAATGCCCGTCCCTGGTCCTCCAACTTGCTGTTGCAGAAAGCTCCTTAGGTTTGATTGGAGTCTTCTTTTAGGGCAGAGTCTTTGTGCCAGTTCTACTGAGGGCTCTGCCACCTAGCTTTTGTGCACTGTCACATATCCCTGTCCTGGCACTACATGACACATGATTTGAGGTGTTTCTTTTATTCTGCATTGCATATTTGATTCCTGGTCTTTTCCCTCTTGTCTCATAATTAGTGCTTGTCTGCTGTTCCCAGTTCATTTCAGTTATGATCACTTTATGCTAGAACATTCATGAAAATTCCAACACCATGGGAGGAAAGAAAAGGTCAAATCTTTGTTATATATAATTTACTAAGCTAGTTGGCTTTTATTATACTGATTGAGGAATGTAAAAATTTTAGAGGTAATTTTTTTTATTTATAAAGATTTTGTACTTAGTAAGATTTTTTGTTCACTTAAAACATGTAAAAAATATGAGTAACTTTTCATAATTATAATTGTATTGACTAATATAGACATGTGATAGACTAAAAAAATGACTAGGAAACATGACCTTGTTTACTGCCTTTAAAGTTACATTTTTTTTTTGAGCCACCTGATTCACTCTCCAATCACTTTTTCTTTTTCTTCTTCTTTTTGTTCTCTACGTGTCCACAAGCTGGGCATGCTGGTGATACAAACCTGTAATCCCAACATTCTGGGTGACTGAGACCAGTGGAGAATGTTGAAGGGGAAGCCAGACTATGCAAGGCTATCCTCTTTACCCTACCTCCAGTAGTTAAGCAAACAAATGAGAAGGCCGGGTCTCTCAGTCCTTATCAAGTAATGATCCTTGTTGTGTTCAGGTTAGAAGTGATTATAATGTATACAAATGGCCTAAGGAATTGCCTCAAATTGATTCTTAAATTGACTGTTTTGCTTTCAGGCAGTTCATTCAGGACTATGGTATGCAATACAGTTATCAAGTATATAGCATCCTAGAGACAGTGGCAACGCTGAGTCAGCATGTTGTTATCCAATTGATTCCTACCCTCACTCAGTCTCTGAAGGATTCAGAGCTCAAATGGGGCCTTGGCAGAAATATTGCACAGAGGTATGTTTGATAATTATACTATTTTGTGTACCGTATAATGCATGTTTTATCTTTTTATTAAAATGCTTTATTGTCCATTTAGGAAAATGGGATATTTTCTTTTGAGATGAAAAACACTTTAAGGCTGTGACTGTTGTCAGTTTTGTCATGCTTGCATGAGTAGACAGTAGTGTGCTTAGCAGGGGGTCACACGTCATTACCATGTTCCTGCTGACATGGCCACCTCAAAGCTGCACACCTCGGTGGTGCTTATCTTTTCAAAGCACAGTGTCCTTAGGTAGAGCTGGATTTCGAAGCCTCAGGTGACTTGTCATATAAAACCCATACTGATAGATCATAACTGCCCAGCTGTGTCCAGTGTATCTAGTGAGTAAGGCAGATGAGCCAGATAGTCTGAATTTGGCGACATATACATAGTTAGGGTATTCTATTTTGTTTTATAAGCTTATAAACCAACCAAAAATAGTGCTGGCTATTTAGATAAATGCATCATTCTTAAGAATAAACCTGTGTGGTTCCTGAAGACATTATTTTAGAGGAGTCAGTACTGAAACCATTAGTATGCCCTAAGTTACAGAATGGAATACTTTGTTCATGTTGCATATTTGACCAAAAGCAACATGGATGAAAGGGTTTATCCTGCTTAGTCTTCCAGGTAGTACTAAGTCATTGAGGGAAGTCAGGGCAGGAACTCAAACAATGCAGGAAACCCCAGAGGCTGGAGCTGATGCAGAGGACATGGAAGGGTGTTGCTAACTAACTGGCTTGCTCCCCGTGGCTTGCTTAGTTTGTTTTCTTATAGAACCCAGTACTACCAGCCTAGGGATGACCTCACCCACAGTGGGCTGTGCCCTCCCAAATCGGTCACTAGTTTATAAAATTCCTTACAAGCTTGCCTACTGCTGGATCTTATAGAGGCATTTTCTCAATGGTGGCTCTCCCCTCTCAGATGACATATATTCCATTTTCAGCTGAAAAAATTTTTACTATGGTATTCTATGTCAGTTTTCTGAGAGACATCCTAAATTGATTATAACATCAGCTAACTAGCAGAGTCCATCTTTGCAGCACAGTAAATGAAAACTTCTAAAAGGAAACTTAGAAAGCTCATGTCTTGCCACAGTGGCATATCTCTTCTGTAGGGAACTTGGCTGGCCTCTGACTATTTTCTACAGAGAAAAGATTAGATCGCTTCAAATCACAGCCTTAAAGAAATAGTGCCTTCTTCATACCATAAAACATGCTCTGGCAAAAGCTGCTAGCATCTAGCTTCTGAGAACTTTCCATGAAGAGGCTGGAGTTTCCCCGTGAACTCTGCCCACTGGACTACTGCGACAGCATTTGCTCGTGTGCTGCTTGCAGTGGTAAGTATTTATGGAGTCCACTCTATGCTCCCAGCAGGTGTGCGCGGCTCTGCACCCACCCAAGTGCTCTGGATTCACCAGACACACACAGGCAACCTTTATATTTTACTATGGCTTAGCCAGCTCAATGGCTGGGCATTTCCAAACCTCCCTGTGACTAGCACACACTCCCCTCTGGTATTGCTGAGTTAACACTTTCTAAATCTGTATGTTATTATTGCTGCTCCGTTCCTTCTGAGTAGCCCTCTCATGGGGCCGCTTTCCCTTCGCACCCACAGCTACTCTTTGTGGCCACAAATGTTCACAAAAGTTCTCAAAAAGATTCAGAATCTCACAGGTATTTAGACTAATGAAAGAACTCCTAGTCAGAATACTTGTTAAAGCATCTCAAATAATGGACATGTTAATGAACCATAAAATTTGGTCACTGTAGACCCTGCCTCAGCCTTCTGACCAGTCTTGGCCTCTTGGAGTCAGGCCAAAAACAATGTCAAATACTAGGAAGTACTACAGATGATTAGAAATACCATTTTATTTTCAAACTATTAAAGATAAGGAGAAGGTAAAGAGAAAAATAAGGCATATGCTGGTGTTGTGACACTGAGCTGTCCTGGGGTAATGCTTATATTCCATAATTTTGTTGGCGAATCATGTCCCTATTGTAATCATGCCGTCATTATCTTTAGGCAGTGTGCTGTGAGTACAGTTGCTATGGATGGGAACTATATCTTTCAGATGGTTAATGAATGCTTGCGTCATTTAACTGTAATTTTGTACTTATAAATTACACTAAAATTGCTGCATGAATCCTAACACCTGACTTTACTTATTAGATACGTGAAGCATTATTTTATAAATACATAAGTGAATTTCTTTTTCCCCCCTCTTAAACAGGGAAGCATATAGCAAACTTTTATGCCGCCTAGGACAGGTGGGACAGGATGAGAAGCAGAGACTGGAAAGTGACAAACTGTGATGCTGCTGCGTGGTTCTTCCTTTCTGTGATGTCTCTGTCTAAAGCTGCTTTGTGCCACCCCAGCTGGTACTGTAATTACTAGTGTAATGTTGTATCAAAAATAATTTCCTTCTGCCTGCATGTATGAAATAAATAAACATATATATATGGAGTGAAGGCTAGTTAGTAACTGTATAATAGGATACTAGGAACTCTGTAAAACTCTGCTCTATCTTGAAGAGATTTTTAACTAATTAAAGACTTTTTGAACCAAAACAGCTCTCTGTGAATATTTATTACCCACTGTGGACTGGTAACCTGCTTAGTGACTAATTTGCTTTTATTACTTTTGTATCTTTATAATTTTTCTGTTCATGCCTTTTTTCCCCCAAATTACCTTACTGGCCTGTTCTGTTGTACTGTTTGAAGGAAACTAAGTATTAGGATGTGGGGCTGTATATTTGTTTTCTTTGTTATAAAGCAAGTAAAAACTTTACAAAAACTGTAAGTAGTAAATAAATGTGTGCTTAGCTCTTAGGAATCACACAGATTATGACTGAAGGATTTTATGTTTTAAAAGTATCACAACACTACTTATGAGTATATTCTATAGATTGCTAGATTTTTTTTCTCTATTCATCTTCCAGAATTGTCATTAGCAGGCTTATGAAGGGAAAGGAAATACAGAGCCTTTAATGAAATAATTAGTATTCTGACAACATCTCAAGGCTACTGGTAAAGACAGTCTGACAAGTCCACTGGTCTATCTCCTTGCTGTTATAACTTAGTGTGTCACAGAAGCTGCGTACTTCACCTGCTAGGCTTTGTCCTTTGTTCTCTCCTCTGTTTAATTAGGCACTTCGCCTGCTGGACCCTTCTGGGGTGCACATCACTAAATACAAGAAGTTCCAATAGGAATTCTCAAACCAGGGGTTTATCTACCTGCTCTTCATGGACAAAAAGGATCAGTCATCTTTTTAATTTCACAATGATATAGGAATCCATGAGGTAATATATGTAAAAAATGTCTGAGTTGATTAGTTTACTGACAGGATGGCTCTGATATTCATAACAGTATAAGGAGAGAGTGTGGGGTGGTTTGAATGACAGTACCTGCTATAGGCTCATGTATTTGAGTGCTTGCTCCCCGACTGGGAAGTCTAGGAGGTAGAGCCTTGACAGAAAAAATGTATCACTGGAAGTGAGCTTGGGAGTATAAAGATTTGCGGTACTTCAGTAAAAGTTCTCTGCATCCTGCTCACAGTTCAAGATGTGGTCTCTCAGTTCCTGCCTCTGTGGCCATGCCTTCCCATCATGGACTTATCCCTCTGAACCGTAAGCCAAAATAAACTCTCTCTTTCTTAAGTTGCCTTTGGCATGTGGTTTATCACAGCAAAAGAAGAGTAGCTAAGTGTGCCTTTCAGGTTCTTTTCTCTTTTCTCTTCTCTTCTCTTCTCTTCTCTTCTCTTCTCTTCTCTTCTCTTCTCTTCTCTTCTCTTCTCTTCTCTTTTCTTTTCTTTTCTCAGTCCTAAATTGTAAATAGAGGATCTCAGGGTTTGGGGTTAGTTTTTTTTTCTCCCCCTCCCCCCCCAGCCCCCAGTTTTAAACATGTTTCAATTTTGAAATATTGGGGTTATGTCCCTTTTTTTAAGTATAGAATAGTTTATTCAGGGCATGGGGAGGGGAGTTGAGGGTAGTAGAGGTAGAGAGACTAGAGGAGTAGAGGCTGGCTGTGAGCACATGAAGTGGGGGGAGGGGAGTGGGAAGAGGGTAAGGGAGCAGGAAGAAGAGGAGAGAGCAAGAACATTGTATTCTTTATTCCTTTTCTCTTAAAAAAAAAAAAAACACTTCAGCCTTTTAACTCTAGCTCAGTTGTAGAGAACTTTGTCATCATGCAGCAAGGGCCTGGGTTTGGTCCCCAACTGAGTAAAAACAAAACAAAAATAAAAGTAATGGTGTTTTAAAAGCAAAATGCAGTCAGCATTTTCTAGTGCTTTCCTAATTCTAATCTCTGAAGTCTTCTTTTTACTTTTATAATAGGCAAATTGTCTCCTTTTCTCCCCAAGTCAACTGTTATTGCTTGCAACAAATGGATTCAAGGCTGTGAAGGACTATATAGCAAAGAATCTCCTTTCATTGTGGCAGTTACTGGTCTAATGCTAAGTCATACTGTCTTCAGCAGCTAAAGTGGTTTGACTTCTTGTCCTTTGGGTTGTGGGTCTTGTCTTTAAGACCTGAGCAGTCTTTGTAACCCAAGAGTTTTGATTTCTCTAAGGTAACTCAAAAAGGCCGTTAAAAGAGTTGGGAGTATAGCTCAATGCCAGCATGACTTGTATGAGGGCCCAAGATTTGTATGAGGACATACAAAGATACTTAATATCACATCACATCACATCACATCACATAGCATATCAACATGGCATGGCACATCAGAGAGCAAAAGTGATTGCCTGTTCTCCAAAGTCATTTTCAAAGGTATTTTATAGATAAGGTATCATCCGTGGCTCAGGCCTGTAAGTACAGAACCAGGGAAGGCAAGAGGACTGTCACTAGTCACACCTAGTTTGAGCTAGACTGAGGCCTATCTCAAACCAAAGATAAAAAGCAAGGGGATATGTTTTAGAGCATGTTGCTTAGCGAATGAAACTTTGGGATCATGAGAAGCTGCTACTTAGTTATATATTTAGAGAATAGGTGCTAAAAATAATTAAGATTTGTTTTTGAAAGTAAGTAACAAGTGTTGGCATGAGATCCTGGGTAAAATCGGGGCCTGAAAACATGAAGCAAACAAGGGGCTGGGGATGTGATGGGATCCGTGGAGAAGCTGGCTTTGTATGGTTCAACATATTTTTCTTCCCCTGCTGGAGATGCATCTCGTCCCCCTTTTACAGCCATTTGCATCCAAACTTTTTCCACCCTCTCAAACTCTGAAAGCTGTTTCCTTATCTCTGGTCTGGGTTCCTACATTGTGTCCTAAAGCAGTTCTGAGGTGAGTGTTCCTAAAGTACTCTTTTCTTTCATTGCTGCTCCAATAATTTCCCCTTCCTCAGCTGACTCATTAGATGTCAGTCTGACCACCTATTTGAACTGGTTTTTTGAGATTTTTTTCCCTTTATTTTATCTATTAACTTTACATCCTGATTGCGTCCTCCCTCCTCTATCTCTCTTCATCTGAGAAGGGTGAGGTCCTCCTTGGATACCAACCCACCCTCAAGTCACCTCAAGTGACTGTGTAGATGCTCTCGCACTGAGGCTAGCCAAGGGACAAGGATGCAGAGATTGAGGGAATGGCCAACCAATGACTGGCTCAATTTGAGATCCATCCCATGGGCAAGTACCAATCCCTAACACCTTTAATGATACTGTTATGTGTGTAGACAGGAGCCTAGCATGACTGTCTTCAGATAGGTTCCACCAGCAGCTGACCAGAAAACAGATACAGAGACTCATAGCCAAACATTAGATGGAGCTTGGAAAGTCTTATGGAAGAATTGGTGGAAGGATTGAGGAACCTGGAGGGGATAGGAACTCCTCAGGAAGACCAGCATTATCAACTAACTAACCTTTAGGGGCTCTCAGAGACTGAACCAGCAACCAAAGAGCATACAAGGGCTGGACCTAGGCCTCCCACAAATATGCAGCAGATGTGTAGCTTGGTCTTCATGTGGGTTCCCCAACAATTGGAGCAGAGGCTTACTTTGACTGTTGCCTTCCTGTGGAGCTTGTCCCCCTAACTGGGTTGTCTTTGAGATTTTCACACATGACAGAGTTATCTGGGAAGAAGAAAGTCAATTGAGAAAAATGCCTCCATCAGATTGCCTGTAGGCAAGTGGGTAGTGCATTTTCTTGGTTACTAATTGATAGAGGAGGGCCCATTCCACTGGATCCATGCCACCTCTTAGTAGGTGGTTAGGGTACTATAAGAAAGCAAAATGAGCAAGCCAGGAAACAGTGTTCCTCCATGGCCTCTGCTTCAGTTCCCCACTTTCAGGTTCCTGCCTTGAGTTCCTGCCCCTCACTTAATAATGGACTACAGTTATAAGCTCGAATAAACTTGTGGGCTTTATCATGGCAGTAAAAACCAAATTCAGACAGCCGGGAAATGGACAATTCCTTTCAAGTTTCTTTTTTCCAAATTCTCCTGCTTCCTCTCAACACTGTTCATTCTAAGCTCGGGTTCATTTAGCTGGCCCACTTGGCGTACCATCCTTTTTTCTTTTTTCTCTTTTCTGTTTTTTTTATTAATCATTCCACTTATTTACATCTCAAATTATATCCTACTTCTCAGTTACCCCTCTACAAGCCCCCATCCCACAACCTCCTCTCCCCTCCCCTTTGCCTTTATGAGGGTGCTCCCCCAACCACCCACCCCTCTACCATCCCCCTATGCTGGGGCATCAAACCTGAACAGGACCAAGGCCTCCTCTCCCATTGCTGTCAGACAAGGCCATTCTCTACTACATATGTATCTGGAGTCATGGATCCCGCCAGGTACACTCTTTGGTAAAGCTGAGAATTAATAAGTTTCATTTCTATAGAAACATAAAAAGCTAAAAAGGAAGAAAGTGTACATATTGGATATGTGATCACTCCAGTCAAATCCTCATAAAGCAGCAGATGGGGTGGGTATAAAAGATGATTGAAGGGCGACAGAGTGATGAAAGTGTTTTATTAGACATTAAGATTTGGTTTTGATTTAAACTTCAATTTAATTATCATCTAATTAGATGGTTTCCATGGGTAAGAAAAATTTGGAGGATCATATGCAAAAATCAGTATTGAGTTCATTTGCTCTAGAAGGATTACATAATTTTAAACATATCTTTATTATTTTTTCTTAAGTAAAATCATATGGTGCATGATGTTTAAGAGCTGAGACGCACATACCATGGTAATACCATGGGATCATGGCAGAGCTATGAGGTTCATAACACCTAGGTGCATAGCCATTGTAACATCACACTATAACATTTACAACACATGGATTGATGCTAGGACAGGTAAGCCCACTGCCCTGCTAGACACAGAACTATGCATAGCACATAGTACATAGCACAGTACATGACATGTACTAATGATTGGTGCTTTGTGTATTCATTTCCCCTCACTGTTTTGATTATATTCCTAATGTATAAAAGTACTCAAAAAAAAAACCTAACTGTAAAACAATATGCCGTGTTACACTAGCACCACAAATCTGGATAGCATCCAGAAGCCACAAGTAGTGACTGACTACCACCTATTGTGTAAGTACAAATGATTTTGCCTAAGGATACACATCTCAGAATACATCCCAGCCATTAAGTGAGAGATGACTGCATTTGACTTGTTTTCTATCTAAGCATTTTAGAAAATAGCATTGGTATGTCTTTCTTGTTTTTTTATTATCCTGTAGCTTCTACTGTACTACTGTACCACGGTACCTTTTCACAAGTTTGGTGGGGTTTTGTTTAGTGCTTTGTTTTCTTGGTGGTTTTGTTTTTTTGAGATAGTGGCTGACTGATTTGTGGCTCACCATAGCTCAGGCCAGACTCAAACTCAGAATCCTCTTAGCACCCCCAGGGATCTAATGTAGGCCATCGGGCTTGGTGATAACCACCTTTCCCATCTCACTGGCCTTTTCTTGTTTTTAAGACATTTTGTTCTTAAATAATATATGGGCTTATTTTTATATATTGACACAAAATGTCTTTTTTTTTCTCTTGTTGGTTGTGTGTGCACATGTGCGTGTTTGTGTGTCTTAGGTATCCTAGGCCATAAAATCCTCCTGCCTCAGCCTACCTCCCTCCAAGTGCTGGAATGCTGGAGTGTTAGGTGTGCACCGTCACAATAACCATGCTCAGTTCTTATAGAATTGTTTCCAGTTAAGATTTTATATAAAAATTGATATGTTTCTGCATTTGGAGAAACTCTTGAGCGGCTCTTCTCTTAAGTCCTATATCTTTTCTACACTGAGCAAAACTGAATGCCAACCCTTCTTCGTGTTAAATGCATTACCTAGTCAAGCAAGTGTGTAAAATGGCAGTCTAAAAAATGTGCTTGATTTGGTTAAAACAATCAGTCTAGAGTTCTAACAAAATAGCATATTTCCTATATTTTGATTAGACACAGAAGTTGTATTTTCACGGTGATCATCTGCAATGCTGAGGTTACCACATGATTCTAATTTACCAATTGTATTATTGTATTTATTTATGAAAGACAGGGTCAGTCTCTGTTTGCAGGCTGGCTTCTTTGAACTCTCTTGGTAGGCAAAACTTCCCAAGCACACTGGGATTACAAGTCTGTGCCCCCCCCCCCCCCCCATAGCCAGTTTAGTGCACTACTAGGGATGGAAATCCAGGCTTCCTGCAGGCAAGACAAATACTCTTTCAACTGAGCTGCACCCCTTGTCCTTAGATCTTTGTTGTGCAGATGGCTACAGTTTATTATATTATAGATAGTACTTTATATGTAATTTACAGGTTGTGTGCATATAATAAAGATGAGATGGATATATAAAATGTAGAGTAGTTCTTTAACATACTTTGTGCCCGTGACTATCGACTAAAAATAAAGATGAGCCATGTTACTTAGTGACACAGTATCTGTCTTCTTCCTATTGCATCTATACTTTGTGTTCAAAACAATGGAAGGGTTCAGCTCCTGCAAGAGCTGAAGGGGATGCTACACATGCGCATTAGGTATGAGGAAAACCAGAAGAAGGTACAGAAAGTGCCACAATTGTAATTTAGTTGCCCATTTATTTTTAGAGATTAGGGGTTTTACTGCATCTTGCATTGCAGATAGAAGCTGTGTCTTTGCTGGCTTTTCTGCTTACAGCAGAATAACTGAAACTTCTTGGTTTACTCTTTTTTTTTTTTAAAGTAAAGTCCTTACTTAATGTTTAAATACTTTAAAGTCTTATGGTCTTAAATGGTCTTTAATTCTAAAGATTGAAAATGAAAGATAAATTACTGTAGGATACTACACTTAAATAGTAGATATACAGCTGAGTGGTTCAGGTAAGATTTGCTTATATACACCAAATACAATTTCATAGATTTTTTTTTCACTGCAGATGATTTTGAGCAAAGGGATCCAATTATACAATCTTTTTTCTTTTTAGTAAAGGAGTGTGATACTTTTGATGCTGTTCTTTGATTATAGATATGAAGACTCTGTCCAAACTGCAAAAAGTATCCCATGAAGACTGGCAAGGAGAAATTGGTCATTGATGCTGACCTTAGTGAATGGTTAGAAATGGATACAGAAGCAGTCTAGGGGTCATGTCCATTATCTGTCAGGCAAGCTTATTTTTAAGACATTTCCTTACACTCACTGTGCATAAGACCTGAGAACATAAATAAAAGGTAATGATTTTACAACGAAAAACTCCTAGAGAGAAAACTTGTGTATTCAAGTAAAAAGTTCAGTACATCTGAAGCAGTTTTTATTTAGGTCTGTGTTGAAACAGATCAGAAAGGCAGGAAGGCACTTTCCTGACAGAACGATTATGTTTATCTCTGAAGGCTCATAGGCAGCTTTTAAAATGTTCTTACCACTTACCTGTATAACGTAGACAAATGGTCCTTGTTTCTACCTGAACTCCTATTTTTTTACCTTTCTTCCTTACCCTTTCTATCACTTCCTGTCCTTTAACCCAAGTAACCAGAGAACATTTGTATTTGTAGAACAGTGCTTTAAGTATCATACTGGAATGCATAAAATTAGTAAATTTGTTAAGATAAAAAGATTGTTTTATTTGGGAAGATCATGAGTTGGAGGCCAGCATAGCTACATAGCCAACTGAAGGCCACCCTGAACAAGAAGGAAAGTATTTTTTTATTTACTTATGATGATGAAAAAAATAAGTGGTTACATGAATAAAACAGACAATCTCTATGACATAAGCAAATGACATAGGCAATGAAGAGAAAGCAGCTTTCCTTTTAATAAAAATGACCTCAAGTCTTGGCAAGATTAGAAAAAACAAACATGTTGAATTTATGTCAAAATGTGATTGCTAAGATGATTTATTTTTAGTTAGAGATAAAGCAAACCCAAAACTCTAGACTAAAAATGAATTATTCATTATTAAAAGGGGTAGTAATAAAAAAATATATTGGCAGTGGTGCAAAATCCTCCAAGAATGTAAGACTGACATTACCTTTATCAACTTGGAAAACGTTTATTAGAACTACTGGCTCTCAGTTCATACTTATGTCACAGCCTTCTACAGTGCCATGGTTACTACAGGTAATTTTTTTTTTAAACTGTAGATGAGACATTTAAAGAGAATTCTTTGAGGCAAGAGTTTGTCCAAATTTTGGGATCTCTGGCGTTCCTGCTCAGGATGGGTGCAGTGTCTTCCCAATGCTCACAGACTCCTTTATCCCACAGGACCGTCTCAACATCCCATCTTGAAATTTATAAACTTGGAAATAAAATAGTTCAGTTACAGGGCTCTAAAGACAGCAGAACACTTTAGAATTTAAGTAACATTTTTCCCCTTAGGCAAAGTTCTAAGCATTTGCCTAATCCTCATGGCATTCTCTTTAGTTAATGTGGAAACGAGTAAGTATCCTCTTCCAAGGATGTGAAACCTAGCCGTAGAAAGTTCTGATACAAGGTCCGAGTAACCAAGGTTGGAAATCTAGCTGTTCCAAGTCCTTTACTCCTGTCACCTTGAAGGAAATATGGCACTTAAAGCTGAGACAATGTCATCCTGTCGAACTTCTGCTGAGCAGAGCTGCAGAATGTTAAGTTTGAAAAATGACACGCTGATGTTTAAGTAATAAAACATCTGTACTTAAGGCATAAGTACAGAAGATTATGAGAAAACTGATGCCATGTGTGTACGGTGCCTTACTGACAGTGTCACATGATCCCAGACCTCACTAGGCAGGACAGGGGTACAAAGAATGTTTTAAAGATCCACAGTACAATAACGTGCTGTAGGATGGCACTAAGATGCACCACAACAAAAGTCATACATATTGCATGTTCACATACACTCAAAGAAGTGACAAAGTTCTCGATAACATGTTTTAGAAAATATTTTTTTTGCTAGTATTTAGCACAATTTTAGACCTGTGAGATAAGACAGGGAAGCATCGAGCACTGAGGACGTTCATGCCCTGTATCCAAATGTCAGGGTCTCATTCAGCCTCCTGTTGATGCTGTCTAAGAGGGTGCTGGCTTATCAGACAGTGCCAATCCTGTGGTGAGGCACTTGCAGAGTCTGAAGGTTGGGGCACGTGAAATACGGAGCTGGGAGGAAACATGCTGCTATTCCGTTCGAAGCAAAGGGAAGTGTAGGTCCATAGAACACCTCCTCTTTGCCTTCTCTGCTTACATCCAATACCTACACCAAAAGAGGGGGAAGGATTACTCAAAATTACATATACATGGAAGAGGGCCTCTTAGGCATTATTATTTTCTTACTGATGTATTTGTTACTTTCCTGATGCTGTGATGAAACATGACCACAAGGAATCATGACAATATCCTCTCCAGGCTTGCCTGCAAACCAGTCTTATGGAGATATTTTCTCAATTGTAGTTCCCCTTGTAAGGTAAGTTTAGCTTGTGTCAAGTTGTCCAGAAAAGAACAAAATAAACAAAAAAACCAGTACAGCTGACCCCTTGTCAATTTGACATACAGACACATCCATAAGATCTTCTATTAATACCAATATCTCAATATAAAACACATTCCAAATTTTGAGTTCCACAGTCTTTGAAAATTCAAGCAATTTCAAAGTTCAGTCTCTTTATAGAAAAAGCAAACAACAACAACAACAAAAAAACACCCCAAATCTCAAAATTGAAAGCCTCTCTAAAATATCCAAAGCCTCTGTGGGTTTCTGTAAAATCAAAACAAGTTAAACACTTTCTTACTCCAAAGAGAAGACCCCAGGCATAGTCACACTCAAATCATAGCAAAGCCGAAGTTCAACAGTGTAAATAGCTTAATGTCTGACTTAATGACTGAAGATCTCCTAGGTCTCAAAGAGTTCCTGCATATCTCTAGCTCTGATATTTGCAGCACACACAGCTGTTGTAGGCTCAGGCTGGCTCCACCATACAGTTGCTGTCGTCCTTGGTACTCATCTCCAAAACGCTAGGGTCTCCATTGCCACTTGGCTGTACCTTTACTGATAGCCTCTTCTGGGCCCTCTTAAGGGACTCTTACTCTGCCACATGGTGCCAGGCCTAACTTCTCTCCACAACCCCTTCAGTCCTGGGGCTTGCAGGGCAACTGAGGCTACACCATCACCAGTATCCTCTCCTGGCCTCTCACAGGCAAACCTCAGCTACTCTCGGTGACCCCTTATGCCTTCAGAACCAGTACCACCTGAGAACGTTACACATTACCAAGTTCAGCTGCCAGTATGAGGTCCAGTCTCGTCCCCCGACACACACATACACCCCACCCAAGACCACAGCTTCTGTTTGCAGACTCTGAGGGAACGTTTCCCAGATGATTTCACCTTGATGATTCTAGTCTCCTCTTAATCACCACGAAATGTCTCAGCTGCAGCTAACCAGGGTCCATTGTCCCAGAAAAGCCAAGCTTCATGTTACGGGCTCTGCTCCTATTTTTAATCTTCACCCCTAGATGACCAGAACCAGGAATCCTTAATTGAAAATATCCAATGACTTGAGGGAGTCTTTAAGGGACTCTCGAACTTCCCAAGCTCCATCACCTGCGTTGCACTCAGATTTATCCTCTTAGATCCCAAAACAGATCTCTAAGCTCTGAATATTAGATGCCTTTTGCAAAAGTTCAAATACCACATTTCTCCTGAAAACAGGTGGTCAGTTCTGTCACAGCAATAGTCTCTGTACCTGCTTCCAATCTCTGTCTTAGGGTTTCTATTGCACCATGACCAAAAGCAATCTGGGGAGTAAAGGGTTTATTTCAGTGTACAACTCTTAGGTCAGTCACTCTCCATCATTGACTGAAGTTAGGCCAGGAACCCGAACCCGTGAACTAAAGCAGAAGTCATGGAGGAATACAGCTTCCTGGCTATGGAGCTCCTACGGCTTCCTTGGCCTGCTTCTTCATGCTCCCCGGTTCAGGAGTGCCTCTGCCCGAAATGGCCTGGGCCCTCCACATCAATCACTAATAAGGACAGGCTTGACTACAGGCTTCTGGAGATATTTTCTCAATGAAGGTTATCTCTTCTCAGAAAACTTTAGCTTGTGTCAAGGTGACAAAACAAAATACCACCTTCTCATACCTCTTCTGTCTCAACTCCTTGCCTCCCATGGAATATCAAGTTACCTCTGTGTCTTAGACAATTGATCATGTGGAAACTCTTTCCCAATAACTGAACCATGATTGTTATCACTTTCTTTGCTTTAAAGACCTTGGTTGTTTCAACTGCTCATCCTAAGAGATTCCTTCAACCTACTGCCCCTCCCTGAATGCTTGGGAATTTTTTCTGCCATCAATATAGTCACAGTGGCATGTCCTCCTCAGGTCTCTATTTTCAACAGCTTTTTAAGGCTTGAGGATAACCAGATGAGTGGTTCAATCTGTGGGTCTAGACCCTTTGGGGGGGGTTCATCTATCATGTATTCTGCATAATCAGATATTGACATTACAGTTCATAACAATGGCAAACTTACAGTTATGAGGTAACAACAAAGTAATTTTATGCTTGGAGGTCACTGTAACATGAAGTTACATGGTTGCAGCATTTCAAAGGTTGAGGACTACTATTCTAGATGAAAATAGCCACCTGTTGTGTAGCAGGTTCCTCCACAGTTAAAACCTTCCATCTTGGAAGGAAACTTCTTCAGACATAGGATATGAAAGGGAGGTGAAACAACAGTATATTTTAGGAAAGAATGTTTATACGGAGGGGAAATAATGGGGTGTTCTAAGAAGAGGTGAAGTATCCCATCCTGCAGGGCAGCTCCTTAAAACAGAAAGGAAACAACTCTAAATAGCTTCAGGAAGTCCCTTAAATTGACCTGATTCACTAGTCCTCTCCTTCCCCAAAAGTATAGAAACAGTAGAGACTATTGCAAGTCACTCTCCAAGCTAAGCTACAAAGATGCTCAGACAAGCTGAGCTGCTTAGAAGAGACTCAGCCCCAGCAGCCTGGAAGAAAGAGAGACCCTCCAGGCATCCTGGAAGGAGCAGAGAGCAGCCAACTGCCTAAACAAAGACAAACCAGACAAACAGGAAGAGTCTCATACTAACTGAGGCACTAGGAAAGAATACTATCCAACATGATAACATACTATCCAACATGATGACATACTATCCAACATGATGACATACTATCCAACATGTTAACTCAAACACAGCTGCTTGAGTTATTTCTGTTCTTGTAAGTAATCCCTCACCCACATTCCTGTAAATAATTCCAATAAAACTCATTGGCTCACCAAGTTTGACTTTAGTGTTATCTGTACTTTGATCTGTCGTTTGTTTCCTATCTAGGGTGAGTTGACATTTGTTCTCATCTCTTCAGGAATGATATCACAAAAACAATTACAATCTTCTTAAATCAAATGGCCTTATTTGCAAGTGTTCTTTAAACCGGCAGTGTTCTGGGCCTCTTTTTTACCAAGAAAGGAGGAACCTCTCTTCCTTCAGGAAAAAATGCTACTTCTGTAGAAACCAGTCTGGAGCGACGGTCAGTCTGAGATGCAGCCAAAAACACTTTGAGCCTGAGCATCTGAACTCTGCCGATATTCCAACTTTATGGGGCAGTACCCAGCCTGGGATGCTGACTGCCAGGGTTGGCTTGATGCTATTCATGGTAGTCTTTGGGCCCTGCCATCTTAGGTTTTTAAGGCTATTTTGTATTCAAGAAACTGAATGCTTTTATCAAGGACATCACCAAAAAACATTTCAACAGCATCATCTGATACCAAAGAATGCTCCAAAAGCCTCTGCTTAGTGAGGCCCTTGTCTAGAAACTAGTTACAAGAGCAACAGCAATGCCTCCAATTTTGCCTATCGAGTGGAAACAAGTCAGAAATGTTAAACAGAACTGCGTCATTTTATAAAGCTGTACCATTTGGAGTAAACAATCACAATTCATGCTGTAAAATAACTTGTTATTTGATTCTTGCAATCTCTGACCCTAGAAATAGCTAGCTACCAGAGATGTACCAATTACCCAATTTGAAGCCACCTTCCTAACAAAGGCTGGCCACAAGCTGAAGCATTTTCATTCGCTCTCGC